GAGTTTGAACGTCAGATTTCGGACTCGCGTATTCGGGTTTATTCGATTCTTAAAAAACACGTAGGAGGAAAAGAGTGACATTTTTTTATTTCCTCTTTTCAGATATGTAAGACGTCAATCAAATTTTCTTTGAAAAATCATTTTATAATTTTTTCCCGTAATTTGCAAAAATCGACAATAATATTAATGTAATCGATAAAGTTTGCCTTGCAGAGCGTTATGTCAATTAAAAATATTCCCGACTGACACACACACACACTCACTCTCTCTCTCTCTCTCTCTCTCTCTGTAACAGTTTACCCGGCAACGATCATGATATTTTACATCTTATGACATAAATACATCCCACGCGCATACGTACAATTTATCCCGATCTCAAAATGTTTTATTAGATTTTTTAATTTCGATTTCTTGACGTCAGTGCGATACACCTTTAGCCTGCTATTTAACTGCGTGCAATTTCTTTGCCATTGACGTCAGCTGCGTATATTCTTGCATTGTGCCACTTTCACTTTCATAATGTCAATAAATATCGGGAAAAAATTACTGTAATTTCGGCCCGTTTGACGTCAGGGCGTGTGATATTTCGTTTCGTATTAGCGAGCGCGCGAGGAGCCGCGAATGTTAATTGGATCAAGAAACAGTCAAAACAACGGAGGAAACAACGAGACCGGAGAAAAAGCATGTTACTTCTGCTGTGCGAGCAATAACAAAAAATGCGAAATTAAATCCTACTGCCGTACGTGCCCGCTGTAAGCCCGGGCGTGACACATGTAACGTCGGCTAAAGAATTAATATCAAAAACACCGTTCTCCGTCCAAACGCGAAGGAATGCATGTATTTGTAAGGAAATTAAAAACGACATGATAGTATGCGCGACGTTACTTCTTATTGCCCTTCTTGTTGCCGCGCTACGAAATTAAGCAAGTGTTCCGACAAATTAATTCCGGCTTCTAAATGAAATTAAATTCGGAATATTTTTTTACAAGATTCTCTTTTTGAAAAAGCGGAGCTTGTTTATTAGCGCGTAAGACGTAGCGAGATCTGAGCGTTTTATATTATACGAATAAAATTATTTTTAAATAATTTAATAAAACGAAACAATTTAATAAAATTGTATAGTAGATGCTAAAAGACTTTTGTAATTGTAACTTTTCAGAGCTTACGTATAGGTACACAAATCAATTTAGACGATAAGATGAGGACGGAAAGTTTGACTCTTAACGTGTAAATAACAATTTAAATTATATATTTAATAATTTTAAATTTATGTCAAAAATATATGCTATTCACTTGTGTAGCTTGATTAAGTTTCTTTCTAAAAACGGAATCGTGTAAAGCTGCTAAAGCTAATACTTTTGATAATTTTTGTAATTTTTAATCTATTATGGGCGGGATAGACCGTCGCAAAATACTTTCGCGTCCAAAAATGCAATTGTAAAATTTCTTATCAGCCGTCAAATTATTCCGATAATATCTCTTATAATTTAATTACACGTTAATTCCATTCAACAAGCAGCTAATTCCTCATCAAGTTTCGTTATATAATAACATTATCGATCGTTTCCCATATCCGTACATCAAGTGAGAGAAAGATATTCTGTTACTCTCTTTGTGTACTTTTAAATAATAAATCCCCTATATATATATATATATATATATATCCGGCGCTTGGGCGCTTATCGATACATGTCGTAAGCCAAGTCAACAACTTTCGTTATCGCGCTTAAAAAGCCGTTATTACCCGCGTATATTGCGATAAAGACCTACTTGCGATGTGTAATACTTTTCTATTACATATATATATATATATATATACGAACTCGCGCGGTGGCCTTCGCACTGACTTTAGCATGCAAATCAGAAGAGACTGTGCGGGACATCCCTCGGAATATCTTATCACCTGTTAACATCGACTCTCTCCACGCAACTGCCGTGTCCCACGCAAATGTCAGTGGACGACAGTATAGTGACTTTGACGATTGCTGTTGGTGGGTATACGAGAGATCTCAGAGGAGATCGTCTCTTTCGTATAATGCGAATTCGTATCGCTCGTTAAACCGGCTGTACCGGCGACTTTTTCGAGATATTTCCGAACGCATAAGGAGAAAAATATTATAATTACATTATATGCCAATTTTAGGCGCTTTTTATCACGCCCGAGAGACTCAGGCGGTCGCACAAAAAGTATATAATGTCTTTTTATTGGGCTGCGCGTGTAATGCGCGCGCGTGACGTGTTTAATATTAAAATTGGCACTTTTAAAAGCGTCTGGGGCAAAAATAGAATGGCCAAAATTATCTCTGGACGAGTGTGAACCTGGTCGACCTCTCCAAGAATTTTATCATAAATAATGCAACTTTCGATAGAGTATTTTCTTCTTCTTATATGCGAATCGTAAATCTTACGCGGAGCGTCTTGTGAATCATCCGTCTGGGGACGAATGTGTGTCTCCTCCTCATCCCACAATTCCGCGATCGTATATAGATTTATATTATATTAAAATCGCGGTGCGTTTCTCGACAAAAATTTGATATTTCCCATGCTCATTAATTTGCGCGGCGAAAGGAAAAAGAGATCGGCCATTGTTAACTGCCGCTTATATCGTGGAAAAGTTCGCTCGCGCAAAAAGCTCGCAAAAACCGTTCCTATTCTTGCGAAGAAAATATAGGATTACACTTCATTATCTTGCTAAAGTGTAAAATGTACCGTCGGCGTCGCCGTAAGCCGATCGTTATACTACAAGTATACGTAAATATATTCCTGTAAATATATCCTTGTCGATATAAAACTGCGTTCACCATCGCGCGCGAGACTATAAAATTCTTATTTTATAGGTTTACGCAAATTTTTTACAATTTAAAGATCGCGCTAAACTAATGATTTAGAAGATAATTTAGAAGATAATTCGTATATATACATAAACTATATAAATATACATTCTATAAAAATTCTTTACAGTTCAGCTATTTTTACCAAGTTGTTTTTGCATAAAAATCGAAATCCAAGTTATGTAATGCCGTCGCACGAGCTCAAATTATAACGCTGATAATGATGATTAATTTCGGTACTTACTTCTAACACGCGAGACGATACTAGACACGAAATAACAGGTTACTAAAGGTTAACGGCACCTTAGACAAACTCGCAAACTCTGCACCGCGCGCGCATTTCCCCCTGTACGTTTACACAAAGTTACATTAAATTGCAACTTGGATTGGAGATATAAATTTACCGATACGATATCATATTTGGACATTCGATGAAAATAAAAAAAATAAATAAAAAAAATAAAATACTATTTTTACCCGTAAATCTATTTACCGTGCGTTATATATATATATATATATATATATATATATGTGTGTGTGTGTGTGTGTGTATACGCTTGCTCGAGTTAAGCTCTCTTATATTCATTTGTCTTTCTCGGCCGCTATATTTCGTCTCTTTGCGGTTTTATCTTTTTTTTCTCTCACCGTCGCGACGTCTTCACGAGATCCTCGCGCGAAATATTAGCCGGTTGCCGAAGGGAGAGACGCGGGAAGATCTCTGTTAAAATTCAGTATTTCCGCGTGATGACACATCGGAAATTTTTGCAATATCTCAAATCGTACGTCTTCCGTTAGCAAATCGCCTGTCCCTCTCCTTCACAAGATGGAGAACAGATCCTTCATCTCCCTTGGTTCTCCGCGCTCCCTTTATCTCTCTCCTTCGGCTGTACCGATGATCATGATTCAATAGGCCTTAGGGACCCTAATTTAGCGAAGGTCCACTCAGGGAAGTCCCCCGTAAAAATAAGAGATGTGTGTACGAGGAATTTATCATGACTCACCGTGCAACGACACCACCATCCGAGGTATGACGTATGTCAGACAGGCCGGGTGTGAAGCAACATTGAGGATTCCACCTGCACGAGGAAGAGTAGGAGGTATGTATTCACAGGCCGATCGCTTCTGTCTGGTTTCATGCCGTGAGAAAGACTCCGCTCGCAAGGGTCTTCGTGGAAGATGCTGCGAATTCGACCGCTTATGAGGAGAAATTGAATCATCTTGAAGGTATTTGAAGAGAAATCGCGATCGATCAGGCTACGATCACAAAACTGCTACGTGACGACTCTTTTCCGTATACGATCTACGTTGTACTTGTTTTGTATAATGAATGCCTGAAAAGAAAAAAAGGGATAAAATTAGAAGATTGCAAAATTTGATCTCGCACTTTCACACAAGTCATTAAAAACATTTCAATTATTATTATTTCTTTAAGACAAATATTGCTTTTCAAATCTTGTCGCCAAATTTAATGTCGAAAATTGCATATGTTAATATATTTTCAAAGCTTCAGACAACTTGGCATAAATAAAAATAAAATCGTAAGCTTAACTCTTACGTTGCAATGAATTTCGAGATTAAAGGATTATAATTTTAGATATTTCTTTTAGAATTTGGATGTGTGTATGATGGGAGTATCTATGAGAAGCACAAGGGAGATATAAAATTAAAGAAATATTGTTTTATTTTAATACTGCTTGTCCTCCATCGATTCCTTATAGTAGTAGAAAAATACGAGCTTAAAATTATAATTGCATATTTATATAGTTAATGCCGAATCTCGGTATTTGAGATTAATACTGTGTGTAATATTTCATATTAATACATACTACATACACACGTATGTATATGAATGTATATAAAAATGTATCGAAAAATGGCACAAATATTATCTAACGTTGCGTAGAAAAATTACAAAATTCCATATATATTTTAGTCGATGAATGTCATAAACATATCGGTCGCGTTATTTAATTATTATGTAAGCCAATCATACCGAGTATGTAAATTGCAATTACACACTTTCTGTCGCTGGAAATTATCTCGCTATGTTTTCTCCTTACTTCCGGTGCGAAATGGATCATATTACTTTCGATAGGTCGTCATATAATGAGCGTCGTATACAGTTTGCGAAAAATAAATACAGATAAATATATGTAAATAAATAAATAAATAGATGAATAAATAAATAGATGCCGGCGAAAATAAATAAATGATATGGTGCATACAATGCAATAAATAGATAATGTGCGTCAATCGCGATGGACATTCGTGATTCACTTCGCGATCATTATCCATCTAAACGACGCGCGTGATGAATGCTCGATGATAATTGCATTCGGATACGTGATACGTACACGCGCGACCGGATTTAACACTACCTGAGCGATTACGTTGTGAATCGAGTACGTGTTTTATCACATTGTTTGGCAACAACACCATGAGAGCCGAGAATATCTATAAATATCAGATGCATGTTACAGCGATTTCTTATTCCTACCCTAGGTGAGGCTGTACACGATACCTATTACGCCTCGTAACGCTTCCTCTCATCGTTCGAACGTCAAACATTGAATAAATATACTAAATTCTTGGTACTCGCGCGTCACTAAAAGCGATATTCAAACGAGTTCCTAGACGAAAAGAGGGAAAAAAAGGAAAATACATAATATTAATTATATATCTAGATAGTAGACAACGACGACAAGGGAATGTCTCTCCTGTTCGAGAACGCGTCCCATTTGATAGCCGCGAGTCATCATCCTCCCTCGGTCGTTCCTCTTCGTCAATATCAATCGTTGATATCAGTGCGTATGGTTTCCGACAAGTGTATGTTGTCTTGAAGGGCGCACACGCAGCCCACGTAGAGCTTGATCTTCTCTTTGGCTCCAATGTCGCTGTACGACACTTGGATGTACTTGAACGTCTGTATGCAGCAGTAGTAGCCCTGTTTGACGTGCTGACACTTACTACCGGCCCTATTGCACTTGATGTGTTCGAGATCCTTCGGCATCCGGGTGCCGCGGATGTCGGGTATCTTTTCCACTCTGTAATTGCAGATTGAGCTGTTCTGCGCCTCCTTCACCTCCATCTCGAAGGGCGCGCGTATATCGACGCTTGGACTGGTCATCAGCGACTCGTCCAGGTCTTGGCTGCTTCTCTCTCTGTTCTCCTGGTCGGTTACAAAATTTTGATACTGTACCGCGTCGTCGTGTCCGTGACGTTTCCCGCGGATGACAGGATGTCCCTGTCTGTACGTTTCACCCTTTCGCTGGAAGGGCTCGTCGTAATTGTTCAGATCGTACAAGTGTCTGTATTGACGAAACGGCAGCATTCGATCCTCGTATTCCGCAGGACGATCGACAACTCCTGACGATTCGTACCTCCCCGTCGGCATCCTGTAGGGATACTCCAGATCGCCCTCGAGACGTCTCGACAAATCGCGTGGCACAGATTCCTCGAAATTCTGATAATAATCCGGATAAAAATGATGACCGTGTCGTCGTCTCAGATTCCGGCCTTCGACGACCGATGTGCTGACGATAACACAAACGAAAAGAACAAGTAGGCACAATTTGACGCCGAGTGTCATTATGTCGATTTGAGACTCGCCCGAAAAATTAGAACCCTGCAGAAGACGATTCGGCAGTCTTTATCGCTGATGCAATCGCTTTATTAGCGGCTTCTTCTCCGTTAACAGCGTCACCCCGGCGCTTCTAGCGTTCAAGCACTTTCGAACGGTTTCTGCCGAATCGTTGGCGCAATCGCGATCGAATTATTGAAATTGCGGGATTACAATTCAAAGTCAATGATTGCGATTCGATCGAGGCTTCCTCGAATGTTTGATTTTACGAAGAATGGGATTTCTCTTCGAAGAGTTATTCAATCTCTCGAATCGAGTTTCCTGCGAGACTCGACAAGATCGAGACGACGCGTGTCAGTGCCTGATCGCAAATGTCCAGCTTCGATCGGTCGTCGAATTTCTGCGAATCTTGTGATGTAAGTTCGAAATATTTCGACAAACTGTTTTACAATTCGAATGTTTGCCGGTATTGATATTCGCCAATCGGAGCTCGGCGAAGTTCAACGCTGACCAGCGCAAGCAGAGAGCCCCCGACGGTTTCCTGGATCTCTCCAGCGGACTTGGCGAGATCGCACGATACGTTAGGTGGTTGGGACTTGTAAGTCGAGGAGCACTGGCGACTGTCTCTCGTTCCTTGTCGTTTCTCGCTTAATAGTTTGCTCAAAACTGAGTATTCCCTGATCTCCGAAGGATTTTTTATCCTGCCCGCGAACGCGCACGTGGGTGTTACGTTGCCCCACTTTAACGGGGGGCTTGCGCGTGCCGGTATACGCGAAGACGTGTGACTAATCGCCCCCTCTCCTTCGGTCACGTCTTATCGGGGGCTCCTTAGAGGTACTCCGGAGAGGAGCCCCTCTTTTACTTGTGCGATACTAGCTACTTCTTCCTCTTCTTCTTCGAGAATACACAGCCTCTGTATGACGTCACGGATTCTTAGTTTCTCTTCAATAAGATACCAATTACCGCATCGATTGCTTTTATTGTTATTTATATATTTCATATAGCCAATTGGCTCGGAAGTCAACGTCACCGGTTCGGCATCTACTTGTAGGGGGAATATAAGAAATTGTCTCGTGCTTCGTGGAATATCCATCGTCATATACGATAATTATATTCTTTAACGTCTGTACGCGATGATGACGATGACGATGACGATTACGCCGCAGGCTCCCGAGGAAGGAGGAATATTTACTTCGAAAGTAACGCAACGCGCTCTTCCCTTTTGACGTTTACGCGCGACACAATTTTCCCGCATTGACGTTCGCACCGCGCCGACCTGAGGCCGCGTGATTACTCTTCGATGAGAAAGGACTCCCGCGGTTAATCGATCACTGTCGTTCTCCGAAACTCGGTGCACTTCCTCGGATTACATGTTGAGACACGTCCAAGGAAGGTCAAGTACCTGAGGATCCCGATCGCCGATCATCCCGCGGCGGATGTGTTATACATCCGGATAGAATTTCGGGCCCCCCATTATTTCCGCGCGCGCATCTATTAAACTTTCGAGATTTCAAACGTCAGAAAGTGCCGTGCATCCGCATCGCTGCGAAAAACATAAAAAGTTGTCACCTCCGCTCAAAAGTATTTAAAATGACATTTACAAGCGAACATGCTCTTGCCCCTTCCATTACTTTCCCTCTCTTGAATAATGCCGTACCGGGTCGTTCCGCTTGCACGTTCGCGTGAACCAGTTGAGATAGAATCATCAGACACTCACGTGGTTCCCAGACGTGTCTTTTTTTTTTATCTATTTTATCTTATTATTTTCTATAGAAACTGAAAGCATTACTTAAAATCCTTACTCTATTATCTATCGGATCGTTATTTTTTGATCAAGTGTGTATGTGCGCGCACGTGGGTTTAAGTAGAAAAACCTTTTAAAATTTCCCAAATTCTCAATTTGTACAAGTAAAAACGTGTATTAAAACTATATACATTAAAGATTTCATAATCGATACAAATAATTTTCCACAATACGTGAATATCCAAACATATTTGAAAATATTCCGCACTGTCGAATTTATATCTATTTCTTTATTCATTTATTAGTTTTTTTGATGATTTATTTTTCTACCTTTATTTCTCTTAATTCATTTTTATATTTTTTCGAATTGTGTTTTGTTATTTTATTACATTTTTTACGGAAAGCTCTCTTGGTCGTTTATAAAAGATAAATAAATAAATAAACACTTTTCATCCAAAAAATATTAAAAGATACATATTAAAGCTATTAAAACAAGATGCATTATTTTTTTTTATTTTTTGTATTCGGCATTTAATTATAACGCCAGATTATGGTACCGGTATGGAAATAGAAAGAGCAAGAAGTGTGTATATATATATATATATATATATATATATATATATATATATATATATATATATATGTATATGTATATGTATAATAAAACTGACCCTCGACTTCGCAGATTAGAAATTTAATTTCTCGAAACAGATATAAACCTCTCCTAAATTTGTGTTCACTTTTTACAAGATTGTAAAATTTTGCCCTGCAACATGTTTACATTATGCTAATGTTGTTGTTGTTTCTTTAATCATATATCTTCGAATTCTTGTACGTGAATCCTCCATTCGCGCGACGATTGCAAAAAATTGATATATTCGTCGAAGATATTGTAAAAAATTACGCGGAGGTGTTCAACGATGGACCGGTTTTCCAAACGATTGAAAGAGATTTATTTCCTATATGTATATATCATTAAACAAATAAGACATGTATATAGGGTAATTCGGCTTTCGATTCTAGGAAAGACATTCTCTTAATTTTAATACCAATTTAATTCGCTTAACTAATTCCGCATTATAATGTAATTGACGCTATTTTTAAGTATTTTAAAGATTTTTAGGATGCATATGGAATATTTTTGTGTCTATTTTTTATACGCATATATTTTTCATCAACTACTTTATTTCGAAAACGTCTTATATTTAAAAAGAGTTTTCGAGGGAATAAAACATAAAGTTCCTACAATAAAACACATTTTTATACTCTTCACTTTCACGTGAACAAATCTGCTGGTAAATCGCTTCTCCTTGGAAAACTTGCGTGCGTGCCGAATTGAAGGACCGAATGCGTGGCGACTACGCAAGCTCTTCGGATACACTCATCCATCAGTAAGTTCGGATGGTAAGCCATGAAATATGCGAGCCCGCCCAAAAATGCATCCCCGGCACCCTATCATATACATCAAACTTAACTGGCTGAATGCAATTTTATCTTATTGTGCATCATTTAAGTGAATCAACTATGAAGTATGAATCATCGTTTAAATTAATTCCGGATTATTGACCGGTTATTGGCTCAAAAAGTTGCGAACGGAAGCGCATCATCATATCCCTTCATCTTTCAACTATATGATCTCATAATATAAAGGAATTAGGAACGTCAGTGCGCATAATTTATATAAACAGGAAATATAAATTGTACAATAGGAAGTATGTAATAAGTGTCTCAGAATCATCGTACGCTTTAAACTCTAGCAAATTATATTGAAAAATGTTTCTTAAAGGAAATCTCGATTTTTTTTTAAATGATAACTCTGCATTATCATGTATATACGTAATACGTACGGTAGTATCTACCGGATGGACCTTGATGGCAGGAATTCGCGTGACGTTTCTGTTCGTTTTTGACGCATACACAGCCCCCAGCGAGCCGAGAGTAAGGATAATCGCATTGCATCCCTTATCCAGAAGCTTATCCACGACTTGTTGTACGTTTGACAAGTCTACGGGTTGAATGCCCGTCGTAACTTCCGCCTGCAAAAGCGTAACGATGCCTCTATTTTTACGCGTCAGACATTATGTTCAATTAATTCTTGCGTGGCACGCATCGTTAAAAGATCGTCTTCTGATCGAGACCAATCGTTCCTCAACGTACCTCAGTCTCATTGACGCAGAAAAGATCACATAGTTTCAGGATTTCCGGATCAAAATTTGCCCGCGCGGGCGCCCCGTTGACAATCGAAAATCCTATCACGTTATGTTCATGTAAAAACGTTTTTTATCTGTGTAACTCAGAGCCACGATATCGCAAATTGAAAGAGTACGTTTAGTTTTTACAGAAAGCGTAAGCAATTTCTGCGTTATTACACATATATATATATATATATATATATATATATATATATATAAAATAACGTAATAAAGTTCACGTACTAATACAAGTTATTAATACAATATAATTATATAATGGTATATACAATTTTAGTTTTTTTTCAAGGATTTATGATAGTTTGGCTCAGAGATCTAGACACTATTTATAAAAAAAAAGAAATAAAAAACAAAGCTTCCTCTATGAGGAAGCAAAAGAAACACAAACCATGACCCCGATGCAATTTTAACGCATGCAGCGTAGTTTCCAGTGGAACTTCGAATTGGCATAATAAAACGCTAGCGCTCTTAATCACATCAACAGCAGAATCCGCGTGTTCCGGAGTAAGAGATTCATTTGCACCTAATACGATAACGATACTGTTCTCCCCTATGAACATTATTCGAATGATATCGAGATCATTTTGGCAACAAAAGTATTTTTTTCTTTAACGAGAAATTTAATTAATGTCACTATTTGTGCAGATTCTGCGACATACATCTTGAAATTAAAATATCTAATTTTAATCTCTAATCTAATCATTTTCAAGAAATCCTAAATAAATCTAACTTATTTAACGATATACTATCGTCCAAAAACATACCATCTTCGGCTACAGTGATGTGAGCAATACCACTATGCTTATCTTTTTGTATCTGGACGTGAGATACATCTACATTTTCTGTTTTCAAAATTTCTAAATATTCCTGAGCAAATGTGTCATAACCCAACTGTATTGATAAAAGATAAAATACATACAATATTGAAAAGAAATATGATTTTACTGTAAATGTTATATTGTTAAATATTCTAAATATAATAGAAATAAATATATTAAATATTTGAAAGCTCGCATTATAAAAATAGAAATAATAAATTAAAATCTTGTCTAAAAAATAAATGTATATATACTGAAGCAATAAGTGCTGTAGATGCACCAAGCTTAGCAGCTGTCACACATTGGTTGGCACCTTTACCACCATATTTCTTTTCAAATTTAGTTCCAATTAGTGTTTCACCAGGTTTGGGTAACCGTGGAGAGAAACTAAAAAATAATAATGATAATGTTAAACAACAATCTATAATCATATATATAAATTATCTTATCAATGATTAAAGCACAATATATCTATAATTATGATTACTATTCATTATAATTATTATAATTAAATATATATTTTATATTATATATATATATATATATATATATATATATATATTGCTCTTTCTATAATTACAATAAAATGTTCAGTCAAATTAATGATTAATATACAAACTATGATATTAAAAACATTTTTTTTGCATAATTTGTAATTATATGTATTATGTACTATGGGATTATAATACAATGTTAATTATAATGAATTATAATGCAATTGCAATTAATAATTATGCAATGTCAATCAACAGTAAGATAAGTTTTAACAAGCTTCGTCCTACTCACCTAGTAAAATCAATCATAATTGAACCGACAACTACTATTTTTGATGCCATATTACACAATTATTTAAGACTTTCTTTTGATATAATAATAAACTCCTAAACTGTGTGTTAGAATATATATGTTCTCAAGCAAAATACTTTAACAGGAATGATATTTATATAAAAGATTGGGGAGCAGCTGACTGTGAAGGTTATAAATGATGATGGGTTATCACAGTTTATCATCAGAGGAGCCAATAAATTCAAACATCGTTATCTAAATGAATATTTTTTTCTGTATCCACACTGCATGTAACCTAATATATAAACACCTAAATACAAACATGAGCGTTATAATGGTGACGTAAATCAGAAAGGTCGATCGAAACAAGAAGAATGCTACAAACACGTGAATTAATTTAAACCGCTGCTATTATAGCGAAAAAAATGCATTATTTACTGCAATGTTTACCTTGACGGGAACAGGTTATTTTTTACATTTATTACATTAAGATGAAGTTATGTATGTAGAGGAGAGCGGAGGAGGAGACTATAAGAAAACGCTTCGAGACGTCGCATCTTGCACCGATAAACAAGAGTTATCAAATCACTGTATAAATTTATGCAAACGATAAAAACACTTGCATGTGTACATACGTATACATAACCGTAGAAAATGTTTGAACGATACAGTCATATATTACGAAGATCATATAGATGAGAAAGTGTAACGTAATTATAGAAAGTATCGCAATCGCATTCGCCATATTGTATATTATCGATATATTATGTAGAGTACCTTAATTAATATATTCTTTCGAAACATCACGTATAATTGCTTATACATAGCAATTATAACTATAATTTAAATGCGTTTATTTGGAACTTGACAGTTCGTTTTCCAAGGATACATAATTTATTGAGCGAGCGTCAGCTGATTTGAATTTTGCGCTCTTGTGATGTAACAAATATTTGTGAAACCTCATTGGTTGTTGTGTTTTCCAATGATTTACCATCTTTTAGACAAATTCGCCCAGCGACATAACATTGTCGAAAAGATAAGCAATTATATATGTATGCGTAATATGTAGCGATAATATTTCTACTTCAAATAATGCGTAATTAGTTGTTTTATTGTTTGACGTTTACAGAACCATGCAAATTCGCGTCCGATTGATTTTTTTTTCTAGATCGAGGATTTCAATTTCGACTATGGACTGCTTTCAAAGCAGATAAAAAAGACTAATATAAATTAATATTAATCATTTTGTGGTACCAAATGTTAGTCAATTATTCTCGCGTGCCGGAGAGAGATATAGATTTCTTCGAAATTCATCGAAAATCGACGCAACGTCATTAAAATATAATAATGGGTAATTCGTCGTTTAGAGGTTTGTATCTGAAAACTGAAGATCAGCCGCGCGGGGTTATTCTTCTAATTTACAAAAGAAAATTCGAGATTATTCATCCGCATTTCTCGAATATTGAAATTAGATTAATGGTAACAAAGATCTCGAACTTACGTTAAATGACTGGGCAAAGATCAGCAAGTTTAATGAAATTCAGCGGAAAACTCGAAAAATTCACGCACTTTTAATATATGTATGTACTCGAGCGCTTCCTATTTTCCTATGCGAATGCGCGTGTTATGACGCCAATCTTCCCCCTCCACCATCTCCGCGCGATAATTCGGTTCTATTCGGGTGCGTTCGCGAATCTTACGGCGCAGTGAAGCGCGAAGATTTCTCCGTTCTGATTGGTCGATTAAATGCTGCTCTACCTCTACGGGTAGAATTTTCGATCGCATTCCTATATAAAGAATTTTATGTAGAGTGAAGGGAAATCGTATCTCTCTTCCGTTATCCTATATTTACGATTTTTACGGAATTGTTACACAATTTTCTCGGAATTGTGTTCCAGGCCGTCCAGAAAAAAGGCAACAGAAAATGACGAGCCCAGTCGTAATCTCGGCCACGGCTAAACACTCGGCTACGGTAAATATTCAGCTTGGATAATCACTACTTTTTGGTTATACGGTGGTGATTCTAATTGATCATAAGTGAATTATTCTCGTACGATACGTATATGATACTTCTGGTTGCGAATCTTTTTTCAATAAAATTGTCTCTAAGCAATGCTATTTCTTCAATAAACTACAATTATTTAGTTTTTTTTAATAACTGCTCTTTGTAAAATATGACAATTAGAAAATAATCTCTAATTCTTTTACACAACGAATCACCGTTCTCGAGATTATCTAAATGGTGCATATTTATCAGCAACTTATTTTAGAAAGATAATCGTTGCTTTTCATTTATCTGAGTTTTCATTGAAAGTAACTAGTGTTACGATCTCCAATATTCTTTAAAGTATTTCTCTGAAAATGAATACGTTACCTTAATTTGTATTAAGAAATACCTTATCTGTTGCTGTTTCAGTTAATATTTTTCCATGGATTGGGTGATACAGGGTAAGTTCCAGTTGTAATGTATAAGTACAATGTTCCTGCAACAAAATAATTTTGTTAACATTTAATATACATTATTTTTAGACATGGTTGGGCTAGTTCAATGGGTGCTGTACGATCCCCTCATATTAAAGTCATTTGTCCTACTGCGTATGTATGATTGCTAATCTTTTAACAAACCATATTTGTATAAGTTACAAATTAATTATTATATAATAGTATTTTAATAAAATTACTTTAATTGTTTCAGGCCTACGATGCCAGTGACACTTAATACAGGGTTTAGAATGCCTTCCTGGTAATTTGACAATTAACAATTTATGCTAAGAATATTATATTTTCAATAAAAACAATAAGTTGCCATATTTTTATCATATGATTACTGAAATATAATCTGAATTTTTTTTTATTTAGGTTTGATCTACGATCTCTAGACTCTAGTGGCCCAGAGGATGAAGAAGGTATACGTAAAGCTGCTGATATGGTTCACTCATTAATAGCAGAAGAAGTTGCTGCTGGAATACCTACCACACGCATTGTTCTTGGAGGATTTAGTCAAGGTGGAGCACTAGCCATGTACAGTGCCCTTACATTCCCAGAGCCTTTAGCTGGTATCGTAGCGTTGTCCTCATGGCTTCCTTTACATCAAAAATTCCCAGCGGTAAATTGAAACTGTGTTGCACTATGTATTTATATACATAATATGCCCAGAATTGTAATATTTGATTATTTTCAGGAAGCGATAGGCAATAAAAACACTCCATTATTGCAATGTCACGGCGATTGCGATCCAATAGTGCCATATAGATGGGGTCAAATGACAGCATCTCTTCTGAAACAATTCATGACACAAACAGAATTTAAAACTTATAGGGGAATGATGCATACCTCTTCTGAGGAGGTAAGGAAATTTTTATCAGAGAAAATATATTAAATCTCAATTATAATTTCTTTTCATAATTTTTCTTGCTTTCACAGGAAATGCGCGATATAAAGAAATTCATTGAGAAGGTACTGAAGCCGTAATAGATCGAATTAAACATTCATCGATATTTTAATGGCTACCTTCAGCATCTAATTGTACATTATACTGAAATTATTCCAATTTTGCAATTATTTAAATTTACATCAAATTATATAATTATAATAAATTGCATAAAATTTAAAAACGTTAAGTAGAAAATCGTTAAAAATATCTTCTGAGATATGAGAGATGCAGTACTATATAGGAAAATATACACTTAAACTTCAATAGTTTAGTGTACCAAAGTATTCATGTAGCAATACTACAAATTAATCCATGTGGTTCTTAATCCTTTTAGTACGCATCTATAATTTATTGGTAAAAAAAAAAATTATTTTTGATTTATAACATCTAATATATACCATATACACACATATATACTATATATATATATATAAATCTATATATGTACATACATATGTATATGTATGTATTGATATGAATATAATCATTATATTTATTTATAAGATCCACATTGATGTGGTAATACATTACAAAAGATAATACGAAACTGGTTGATGTTTTATTCATTTTTACGATTTTAGTCTGTGACAATAGTGATAAATTTATATGTAACTTTGTGTTAGATTTAAGATAATATTAAGTTAGATTAGAGAGACAAAGAGCTTTTTACGTCAGCTCTTTTGTCGATAAACTTCCATCCTTTCGCGCCTATATTATGTTCAGATATCAAAAATTTTGTTTGAATACAAACAAAACACGTCCAGGAAGCACTTAAAATAATTCGCGAGCCAGCTGTGAACCTTCTGCATTTAAATTTCTACTTCGCGTGCGATTTAGAGCTAAAATACTGCTAATGAATCATTTTTGTAGTTTGTATTATCTAGAATCTAGAAAATAGCGACACAAACGTGTAATCTGTGATTACATATTGTATTGTCAAAACCTATCAATTATTCAATTTATACCCCTATAGATCAGGATTTCCTAAAAAATAAATGCGAGTTGGAATAGCATCTTTTAAAAAAAAGTATTTTACAATTATAAATTATAATTACATTAAATTTTCATGGAATAATTGTGTAACACTTGTAAAAATTTGCATAGAAATATCTGCTATTTTCAATATATATATATATATATTATTATGATGAAAGAATTATCATAATAAATCGCTTTAAAGAATCAAATTTTAACTGATTTAGATTTGGGAAATCCTGTGATATATTCTTGTAAACAAGAGGTATTAATACATTACACAAAATATTACACGCTAATGTATATAAAATTATATAATTCTTTCGGCTGATTTTATTGGTACTAATACACTATCCAGTAGACAAATAATAAATAAATAAACAAAGAACAATAAGCTCCGAATATTTTTCATGAGCTTTTCTTTAGGAATATAACTTTATAGCTAGTATAATAATAAATAGGGCATTAGTTTATAAGTTATGTAACGTTTCAGCTATACAAATAAAGTATGCAAACAATTTTTGTTCCTCGATTATATAATTGTGAACATGAACGTTGCACGGATATTTAAGTGTGCATATATGTATATGCGATATCTTGCATGCAAAAAAGATTTTAAAGTCCACTATCTATACATGTATCATAACGTATCTACTTACATCATGATATAATACATCAACCAGCCAATGATATTGGCAGTTTTCAACGTAATCTTTGGACTAACATCTTGTCATCAGCGACCAAATAACGATCTATAAAATATATCAAAGTATAATTTTTTGTTTTTATTTTATATCTATTTTACAGGTTTAACGAAATGAAAACTGGTGGTGTGCATAAAAACGCGAGGTTATAAGCTTTTGATAGACTTTTAAAATTTTTAATTATTGTAAACAAACTTTTTTGGTAATTATGGCACATGAAAATTCTTTTATCTTGACTACTCTAAATAATGGAATTCAAAAAGTAGTGCTTAATAAACCTGCCAGGAAAAATGCAATTTCCATTCCGGTAAACAAATATACATAATTCCTAAGTTTTATACAACAAACTAATAGTATGAATAACGAATAATCGTATATATTGATTTCTTATTCACAGATGTATAAGGAATTAACATCAATATTAAACGAATCTGCTAAAAATGATGAAGTACTGATATTTGCATTAACAGCAAATGGGGATTTCTTTAGCAGTGGAAATGATATAGGTGCATCTATGACAATGGAAATAACTCCTACTATTTTCGAAGATGTAAATGTAGTTTTTAAGTAAGAACAGTATAACATTAATATGTGAAAGTGTGTATATAATTCACCTCTATAAACATACAAAAAAATCATAAATATATCTTGCAGGAACTTTATTGATGCAATAATCGTGTATCCAAAACTTTTGATAGCTGTTGTAAATGGACCAGCAATAGGAATAGGATCCACAATGTTAGGGATCTTTGATATAGTATATGCTTCAGATAAGGTATCTAAATAAAACTTAAATTTTATATAATATATTGAAGCATTCTTTTAAATAAATGTGATGTAAGATATGAATATTATATTAATTGCAGGCATACTTTCATACGCCGTTTAGTTCTTTGGGTCTTGTTGCTGAAGGATGTTCTACCTATACATTTCCTAGATTATTAGGACATTCCAAAGTATAGTATTTTATTGCAAATTATTATTAAGAGATTGTGTAAATTTTTTTTATAAAATTACTCTAAACTCTACAGAAAGAGAGAGATTAAAATTTCAATATTATGTGTATAAAAAAATATTTAGGCTGGAGACATGTTGTATCTTGGCTACAAAATGAATGCTGAAGAAGCTAAGAAATATGGATTAGTTAGCGAAGTATACAGTCATGATTCTCTTAAAGAAGTATGGGACAATTTGAACAACGTATCTAAACTTTCTTCAGAGGTATTATTTTTACTTATAATACTTTTTGCAAAATTATTTATGATGCAAAGATATAACAATAAATATTAATTAGATATATATTTACTAATTTTAGTCAATATTGGCAACAAAGCGATTGATAAGTAAATGGAATAGAGAGATTTTATTAAAAGTTAATGAAGAAGAAACGAAAGAATTGAAAAAACGATTTGAGTCTTCTGACTTAATAGAAAGACTTTTAAACTTCTTATCACGAAAAAATAAGCTTTAATATAGCTTCAATATATTAAAAATATCATTTTTTATTCAATATAATGTAATAATAAAAATATAATTTTTTAAATCCTTAATTAGTTTATGTACGTTGTATTGTAGAATTTTTAAATATAAAGGTTACATAATCGCCTGCTTCTGTTAACATAATATCCTGTAAATTTATATATATAAACATTAACTTTTTAAACTTAATTTTTAGTTATTTCTAATAATTCCAATAGTTTTATTACCTGCATAATGTCAAATGGAATTGGCTGTTTATAATGTTGCCAATCTCGAAGATGATTTATAGTTAAATTTTGTTGAGGTGATTTATCATCCAGTATAAGTTGACAATCTCCCGTCTCATAATCATTCGTTTTTGATTCTTCAAAAGATATATGTTCATTGTCTTGACCAGAACAAGAGCAATTCAATAAATCATGTGTTAATGAAACTGTATCAGTTGCCAGTGTAAATAGATCCTAAAAGAGAGGAAAATATTTCAAGTAGTAATTTTTGCATAATTTTTTTTTTTCTAGTAAAGAGTACCTTTAGTTCTGCAGTTGATAATTTTAGAGACCCAAGATGATTCAAATCCACCACAGATTCACTTAGACTAGCTTTGCTAATTTGCCTTTGGTATATCTTTTCTTCTATTGTACCTGTTGTGAGTAATCTGCAAATTTTTATTACAAAAATATTTGATTACATTTAGAATTATATAACTTTACTGAATAATATATTTTGCTATCAGAAATTATTACGGTATTTATTTAAGATTATATACGAACCTATAAATATAAACATTCTTCTTTTGTCCATCTCTCCAAATCCTTGCCATAGCTTGCACATCGGATGCAGGATTCCAATCAGAATCGAATAACACAAGTCTAGATGCGCCAGGTAAATTCAAACCAACACCACCCGCCTTAGCACTTAGTAAGAGGACTTCTGCAATTTATGCACATTATTTTGATGTAATATATGCCTCAATTATTATTCAGAAGATACATTACAATTTTTATATAACTTACTGCTATTATCGGATCGCGTATTAAATTGTTCGATTACTTTTGATCGTGCAGAGTTTGAAATAGTGCCATCCAGTCTTAAAAATTTTAATCCTTCTACATTACATATAATTTCAAAAAGATCAAGTGTCTGTGTATAGTAAGAAACTAATACTAATTTTTCGTCGGTCTTTTTCAAATTTCTCATCAATACTTGTAGAACTGTGATCTTTCCGCAATATTTTGTAAAATTATTGTCCTGTTTTATTTGCATCGTACATATTGTTTTTGACAAAGTTTCTCGTAGCGCGTTCTCTTTGTCATTTATGAACAAGTTCGGATGATTGCAAATTTTTTTAAGAGCAATAATAATAGACAAATGTGTATGACTTTTATCCTGTAAACAAATCTTGTTGAACCAAGTATCGGTAACAAGAGAATACAAATCCTTTTGCTCACTAGTTAAAGAACAAAACAGAACCATTTCGTATTTATGTGGCAGATATTTGTTTATTGTATTTTGCGTACGTCTCAAAATGAAAGATTTGGTACGCTCGTGTAATTCAGTGGCTCTTTCAGATCCCAGACTAAGGACATCTTCATCAGCATTAGGGCATTGAGATGCAACAATAGGATTTTCATAATAATTTTTATATTCGAGAGAAGAGCCAAGAATGCCAGGATTAACAAAGTCGATCAGTGTATAAAATTCTTTCAAATCGTTCTGTATAGGAGTACCAGTTAATATAATCCGTCGTTTACAATCGATCTCACGTAACAACTAGGAAACAAATGCAATGCATATAAATATAAAAACGATACATAAATATTCATATTTGTATAAAAATATCAAATGACAATTACTGTTGCCGCTTTTATGGCACTGTTTTTCAGCCTGTGGCCTTCATCACACACAAGTAAATCGAAGGTAATCTCATTAATTTCCGTGTGACATTTGATAAACATTTCATAGCTAATAATCAATACTGAATTTCTCGGATGCTTCATAAAATCCTTAGGTCTATTTTTTCCATCTACAACATATGGAGATATTCTGTGAGAGCCTAACCACTTCGTGAATTCCTTGTCCCAATTGTTGCACAAACTGCGAGGTGTTATTATCAACACGCGTCTCACAATCGGTTTGCCATATGGACCCTTTTTCAACATTGTCCAAATTAATGTAATACATTGTAAGGTTTTGCCAAGACTCATCTCATCTGCCAAAATTGCACCAAAATAATCTGGCACTCTTAGCCCCATTAAGCATTCGTAAAGAAATGCAATTCCATAACGCTGATGTTCTCTAAGCTTTGCTGCTAAACAGAAATCTACCGAGACTTTTTGTTCCTCAGGGTTTATACTTGCAGAAAAATTCGTGCATGGCATCTCTAAAGGCTCGCAATTCATCACTAATCCTTCAATATAAATATACTAATAAATATTAATAATCTGAGAGTTTATAATATACTTAATTTTTTAACTCTTATAAATATGTGGAACCTTTCGTAAGTGTATTTATTGAGGCTTCAACTTTTTCTTGTACCATTTTTTCTACAGTATCCCCAAGTTGTTTCTCTTGTGACGCTTGATCTATAATCTAAAATTAACTTTATCAGATTTTTGTATATAACATTGCATAAATGAGCACTGATACTAATTTCTTACCTCAATTTGCTTATTGCCAATAATTAATCTGGCACCCTCTACTGCATTACTTGGATTGATTGTTTTTCTTCCCATAACTTTTCCATCCAAATTCTATTGTAATAAAAATATATTAAAAATATGTTAGAAATTTATAATTGATACAATTGATTACCTTAAGAATTGCGCTTTCTCCAGTTATTTCCAGCAAGCCATCACTATCCCATGTTTTGTGTTTCTTTGAATTTATTTGGCCATACGTCACATTGAAAATACTATAATATTTATTTAGTATGTGTATATATAATTAAAAGAATTATTTTAATATTTATTTTAACAAAATTTACATTTTTGATATCTCTCCTGAGGATGAATTTATAGTCAATGCTTCCTTTTTGCAAACTGGAGTATCAACATCTTTTTTTGGTAAAATACATACAAATCCAGTAGATGTTTTCAACTTTTTTGTAATGGTTCCTCTATTCTTTCCTCGGATTGTCTTTTTGGTATAGGTAGTAGCTCTTGTAACACTTGATCTTTAATCTAAAAAATTTTGTCACATTTTTTATATACATTGCATAAATAATTTTATTTTTTATATATACTTTACAAATATTTGATGTACAAACTTTTACCTCAATTTGCTTATTTCCAATAATTAATCTGGCACCCTCTACTGTACTACTTGGATCGATAGTTTTTTTCCCCATAACTTTACCATCTAAATCCTATTATAAAATATATTCAATAATTAAAAAACTTAAAATAATCTCTTATAATGCCAAATTTACAACTGATACATTAGTTACCTTAAGAATTGCATTTTTTCCAGTTACTTCTAGAAAACCATCGCTGTCCCATGTTTGATGTTTTTTCAAAGTTGTTTTACCATACAACACATTAAAGATGCTGCAAAGGATATTATATTTATACAAAAGACACAAATCAAAAAATTAGAATGGTTTGATATCTACTTTTATAATATACTTACATTTTCTTTTCTGTTTGTTGTGACAAATCAATTGAAGCATTCTTTTCGCAAATCGATGCACTAGCATTTTGTTTTCTCGGCGAATTATTTTTACGTCAATGTTATCAAAAGTGACTTCATTATCTGAATGTACGTTTTCGAAAATGTTTAAAAGTTGTGTATTACTTCTAAGAGGTTTTCTTATTGAATCGCTCGGTGATTTTTGCTGGCATACTTTACTTTCTTCGACATTCATGCATGATTGAACGATTAAAGGGGATGTAAATCCCTTCACCGATTTATTCCGATACATTTTAATAAATCCAAATGACAAGTCCAAACACAATAGTAGGTATATGAGACAAGAGACAACCAAACTCCAAACTTTTGAAGAAGGCGGGAAACGGAATCAACATAAATTAAATTTTCGCAACAGCTGTATAAAAAGGTGTGTTCAGAAATTCTATTTCTCTCTGGCATTGAGTTGACCAATCAGAGAAATCGATGCTTTGAAGTAACATTTCCGCAAACCGTCTAATTATCGAACGCAGTTGTCAGTTGTCATCTGTCATCCGCACGTGCTGTCACCTGTCAGGCGATCACGTGTCCCGTCAGATAATCATTTGGATTTTGGATTTATCATTTGGAGAATTTGCAAAACGCGAGTGGTCGGTTCCTTCGCCAATCGCGTTTGCAGAAGTTGCGTGGGCAACTGTGACGTGATTTCCCTCGCGGTGCAGCAGCCGCGGTCCATCGTGGGATTCAAATGCATCGCGTGAAACGTAATGCGCGAGTGGGTGTGTGTGGCCGATTAAGTTCACTGTCACGTATGCTGTCGCGGTTCCGCAAACGGCGAAAGTCGCACGGCGATATGTGAGTAAACCTTCGAACGACGTGCAAAGTTCGCTTGTCTCGGAGGAGACATGTGTATCCGTTATTTCTATCATGGTTTCGATGATTATTGGAGCATCGCTTTCTATATTTCCGAGGATCGCGTGTTTCGAATCAATCCTTTTTGGCAGACACGCATGCATTTAGACACGATTAAGTTGGGAGCGATATTCGGAAACATTCTTCTGTAAGGAATTATGTAACTCGATGATTTGGGAAATTCCAGATGTTGACAAGACGAGATAGTTTTAAAATCCTGTGCTTTTCTTTTTTTTTTCTTGATGGCTTATCTTTCTTCGCAGATACTGCTGTATTAAAGAAGATATTTGAAAGTTACTACAGATGTGTGGATGTGATTTGACAATAGCTTTATCTTTCGTTAAACTTTTATTTCAAGATGCATTTTTCTATACCTGATACTCAAGAATTTACTGATGGAGCTGGGAATGCATACGTTGTAATTATTTAGAAAATATTTTGTTTATTGTTTATTATTTTTACTACTTGTACAATACTTGATATCTTTTGAATTATAGGGGTATAATATTCATATCAATGGATTATTTCACTGTACTGTGAGATATAAACAGCTGTACAATTTGCATGTACAACTCTCTAAGGATCTTGACATATCGTTGCCTGTATTTCCTCCAAAGAAGTTCTTTCCTTTAACTCCTAATCAGCAAGAGGAACGGCGGCTAGCTTTGGAAAAATATATTCAGTCAATTGGTCAAAACATAGCTATTAACAATTCTGAGATATTAAACGGATTTTTATTAAATGCTCAACAAGAAACTGTAGGTGGCTTGTCTGAGACTGAGTCTTTGGATGTATTTCTCATGAATGGATCAAAAATTTCATTAAATGTTTCTACAAGAGAACATTCTGGTGAAATTTTAAAGGTATATTTTGTTGCTAATAATTTATAAATAAATAAATAAATATGTATATATATATAACAAAATACTTTCTACATACATGACATAGACATAGGAATATATTCCTATGTCTATGATACATAATATTAAAATATTTTCATATATTCTTTCTTTTTTTAACAGAAAGTATATGAACATATAAAGTTAGTAGAAAAATATCATTCCCATTTTGCCCTATTTATTATTATACAAGATGAATTGTCTGGTAATATTAAAAGTGAGTATATATTTTTTATAATATTTTGATACATATATATATAATGTATTGTTTCTTTTTTATTAAAATATGTATTGTGTTCTCAGTATTGCGGAGATTACAAGATTTTGAGTCACCTTTTATAACATACAAGTATATGAGTTCTATGGGTACAAAAATTGTTCTCAGAAAAAGTTATTGGGATACAATGTACGATCTTGAATTATTGAATGATCCAGTGACTCTGAACTTACTATATGTCCAAACAGCTGCGGAAATTCACAGTGGGTGGATACTAATCAACAAAGATGTGCAGTATCATTTGGAGAATTTGCAAAAATCTGGGAACAAGAAAGAAGTACGTTTATTTAAAAAAAGAAAAAAATTGAGTAATTTATTTTTTATTATTTCAGTACTTAAATGTAGCTCGTTATTTAAAATATTATGGCTACATACAATTTGCACCATGTTATTGTGATTATCCTCAACATGGTTCAAGAGTATTACTTGCTATAGGTGGAAATGAATTAAATTTACGTGTTTTATCATCTAAAGAGCACGAAATTTTATTTAAAGTTTCACGAATGCGATGTTGGCGCATTACTACTATACAAAATGTAAGTGTATTATAAATACTTTAATGAGAAAACTCAAATGATTCATTGAATTAAAAATTGTCACTGAATGCATTTAGGGAACGGACAATGCTGAAGATAATAATGAGTGCAGTCTAGAATTATCTTTCGAATATTTAATTGCTAGAAATGAATTGCAATGGATTACGATTGTTTCGGATCAAGCGATTTTAATGTCTGTTTGCCTCCAAGCCATGATCGATGAGTTGTTACAAAAATGTGTAGTGGGAAGCAGAATTCAAGTTGTTATACAAATTATTTCAACTTATTATAAATACTTAATCGAATCTTTTAATCTGTAAATATGTGATATTTACAGGTAGAATCTGGAAAATCTTGGACATATATTACGAGGGATGGCCAGAGTCGTATTACTATGGGATCACCATTGCGAGAATGTGCCAATAATAATCATTCGCCTAAATCGGGACCAATAAAGAAACTCGCTACTAAATGGTCGGCTGTGACGTCAAAAAAATCGGACGAGTCAACAGCTGTTGTTGATAAGATGCAGGCAACATCTACAACAGCTGATGACTTTGATATTGTAGAAAATAATGTTTTTCGTATGATAGGAGATGATGATTTATAAATCAAATAATTTTTAATGAAGATTGAGATATAAGCGCAGTGATAAAAAAAAAATAACACAGTATGCCTTATCTAAACAACTTTTAGAGATATATTTTAATATATCTACAAAACAGTGAAACAGTTTCCAATTTAAAGTTAAAAATAAGTCATTATCAAGGCTAATTAATTATTGAAGTATGCATATTGATATTTATATCAATATGATTAAAATGCATTTATATTTATTGATAACTTTACATAAAATATTCATTATACTTCTATATACCGTCCTATTACAATAATAATCAATCTGATGCAAGTTGAAAATTAATTTGAGCCAAAACTGTGTTTGAATTATAAGTGTAATATTGTGTACAATGTACTTAATGATAGAATTAATATGATAAAAACTAAATCAAACTTTGAGAGAACAAACGCGCATATATATATATATATATATATATATATATATATAGTTTGTAGATTGTTTATTATTATTAAACAAAATTACTCAAAAGATGACATATTAATACTGCTTTCATAATTATCTTAAACAAAACTATTAATAATATATCTTGCTTTAAATCTTGTATTAAATAGCAATCATTCTATGTGGTGTGTTACTTTTCATTATCTATCTGATTATATAGTTTTTCTGCTAAATTGATTCGAAAAACATACTTTTGCTTCAGTCTCCATATTTTAGTCAAACACTGTAAATAGATTGTACAATACACAATATACGAATGTAAAATCTATTATGTTGTCATAAAATTGTCATGATTAAATATGAATTACAAAGCCATTCTTTAAAGTGGAAAAATAATAGATTATATATATTCTATATATATTATTCTATTAAATGAATAACTATAAACCTCCATATAAAAAGTGATTGCTTATTAAGACTAAATGACTGATAATCGTATAGAAAATGCATTAGTCTGCTCCTTTGTAATATTTTTGCTTTAATCTCTTGTTCTAATTATATTGTGATTCCAGAATACATACTGCATAATATTAGCAGATAAGAGATATAAGTTAAAAAAATGTATAAAGTTTAAAGAGGATTTTACAATAGTATGAATTGTAAAAATATAAAATTTATAAATTGACATATATTTATCAACTTTTACAAATCCATAATTTTATATAAGAATGTAATTTTTATTTTATTTGTATTGTATTTATTGTATTTATTTTATTTTATTGTGTATTTGACTCACGAAATGAATATAATAATAGACTATATAAGTTCAATATACATATTAAAAAGATCGAACATATACAAGCATTCAAATTACTTAAAAGAGAATTCAAACAAATTTTTTATACATATATGTGTACATGTGTTTCATATAAAATGATTTGGAGTATAATGTTGTTTGTGGAGCAATTTAATTATGTTTCGCTTTAACCTCGTTAGTATTACAATGTATTCTTTGCAGATCAAGATTATGAATATATATGCCTCAAACTCGGACTTTATTTTGCTGACAATGTGCATACCTTCTATATCAAAAATATGTCATTATTCTGTCTTATTATTTTCTAAAGAAAGAAAATTACGTGTCAATTCTGGCTATAGCTTTTAAGTATAATTCTATTTCCGCGCTACACTTGCAAAATATATATAGCCCAACGTCAGCAATTACTCCACTACAGTTATTCACTATATGTATGTATGTATTAATGGCACATACAAATATATCTATTTTGAAACTAATTATAAAAAAAATATGCAGTGAATAATTTTAATGTTTTATACATAAAATGATTATTGTAAGGCGTTATACTATACGATTCTAAAAATACAATTATTAGATTGGAATCTGATAAATTTCAGTTTCAACAATTTCCATATTACAATAAAGTAAATTACAGCATATTGGGAATACTTTCTAATACGGAAGACTAATACTAGTAAGTTCTTTTATGAAATATTTCATTATAATACAGTATTATTTTCACCACGGCACTGCATATCGAAGAACACTATTTGTTATTTTAGAATCATGTGATCATGTTATATATGGTGTTTACAACTTGAAAAATAAGCTGATAATTTTTAGAAGATTGATATAAATTAGAATTGATAACCAAATGTAAGAAGAGAGAGAGCCTATCTATGGCAGTAGAATAAAAAGTAAATTAAATCTTACAGCCTTGTTTACTTATTTCAAATTATGTCATGATTAGATAAAGGACGTTCACATTCAAAATCGTTCAAATGCTTGGGCGTTTTGTGAATGCATTTCGTACGAATGATCTCTTTAACGCAATATTCTGAGTAAAATGGCATTGCGGATGACTAGTGTAGCATGTAATAATACAATATCGATTTTCACATATACAATTAATATAAAATTTCCTTTTTAATTATATAAAAATGATTATAATCATGATGCGTTCGTTTTATCTTGTCCTATTGCATTCCTTTTTATTTTCTAACGACCCTATAAGGGTCTTATAATATTTCTATAAGAATAGGATATATTTAACAGTATAGATATAAACATAATACAAAAATTAAGTATAGTGATTGTTTTTTCACCTAAATCACGTAAAATAATTTACATTGATGACGTGAGGCTATTAGTTATTACTAGCTATAATATCCCAGGTTCACAAAGAGAGGCAACATTGTAATTTGCGAGTAACCATTCAACGACATCTATTTTGTTTATGAGGTAAAATGGAGTGTGAAAACAACATTCTTCTCTTTAATGAAACCAGGGATGATGCGAATAAAATCTATCCATTTTTTACAATTGTACACCCTTTGTCTATCCCTTTGTCATCACTTATTCACGTGGAGAAGAAACGAACCCTGTTAGAAGTTCTGTTGACGTTTTCGTTTAGTGTCCATAGCATCGAGAATAGGCTGTCTCTTCGTCTGGTACCTTTTTCTTAGCTCGTCAATTTCTCGTTCCATTTCCGCATCCAAACTAGCCATACGTTGCTGCAATTCCTCATAGGAGAGAAACTTCATCTGCAGGATATGGTTGTTTCTCTATATATATATTCAAATTTTCCTTTTGTTATAATTTATTTTTATTTGGAGTAATGCCTAGTGGCATTATTCCAAATAAATTGGTGGAAAGAATACGAATTCAATGTATCTTATTACAAAATGGAAGAGAAGGACTTGTTTTTTTAGGATTGATCATATTATCAGTAGCATATGTAGGTATATTGCATTTATATTAATTATATAAATAAGAAATAAGTTTTACTTACAAATTCGAAATCACGTTCTGTAAAGACGTTTTGGTACTTTGATATGTTGTTATGAGGCTGTTCTAGCACAGGATGAGATATCTGATTCTGTAACTGTAGTTGTAGATGACTTTGAAACCTTTGAGATTCACTTGGATTCTGAAGCTCCACTCTGTTTGCATTCTCTGTATTTTGTGCTGCCAACATTTGTCCATTACCCTGTGCAATAGTATCATTTGTTATTTTTGACTAAATTATACCTGGACAGTTTTAAATCAATATAAAGTATAAAGATTACCTTTACAATTTCAGGTGCTTCTTTCTTATCAAAATGATCTAAAAATAACGGTCGATATTTCTTGCCAGATTCCACAGAACCAGTATTATGTCCTGAAAAAGACATTAAAATTAATCATGTATTATTATTTTACTGAAATTTCAATCGTCATCACGACTGATTATTAATCAAGAGCTACTAACTCTTCATGGTAGCTTCGGTATCTGTATCGCTATTGATAACCATTGTACCCAAGTCCAACATTGCCGAAACTAAAGTACCCGTATCTGGAAGATCATGGCTAGGCACTAAAGTCCTACTATCTTCTGGTAATGGTTTCATAGTTCCACTGCAGTCATCCTCATCCTTACAACATGTATGACATAGTATATTTGTGCACATATATTATAATATTATATTTATAATACATATTAATATGATTATTATATAATTAATATATAATTATACTATATATTATATAATTTTATATATATAATTTTTGTATAAACTAATCTTTGCGATAATTACCGAATCTTCCGTCTGGTTCTGACTTTTAATCGCTACATTGTTTATGACATGAGCTTTATGCGCGCTTTGCTTCTCTCGTATTTCATGGGCCTCGGCAATCATTTGACTCAAAATACTTGGTTGCTTAGCATTACCTGCAATTACGCGTTAATTAGTAAGAAGTCATAATGTAAATTCTCTCTCTTTATCTTTTATTCACCTATAAATTCGTGGTGCAGAAGTTCGGTCGCGGTGGCTCTTTCTTCCGGATTTTTTACAAGGCACCCACTGACAAAATCGATAAATTCTGGACTCCATTGATCAGGTTCTCTAAAACTAGGTGGTGGCTTAGTCGGAATCATAAATATTGCTCTCATTGGATGTATATCGCCATATGGTGGTTTGCCCTCTGCCATCTCCAAGGCTGTTATTCCTAGAGACCATATATCAGCCACGCAATCGTAACCAATCTCCTGTATCACTTCTGGTGCCATCCAAAATGGTGTACCAATAACTGTGTTACGTTTAGCCATAGTATCCTGTAAATATTTGAATTAGAGATTTGATTTAATTACATGTATTCTTTTTTCATAATTCTAATTTCTTTCTATAACTTACTGTTAATTGACCTGCTACACCAAAATCAGCCAATTTTGCATGGCCTTCGTTATTAAGAAGAATATTTCCAGCTTTAATGTCCCTGTGAATTTTCCTTCTCAAGTGAAGATATTCCAATCCTTTCAGAGTATCGCTCAGAATTGTTGCAATTTCATCCTCTTGAAGGGTCTTTTTCCTTAACCTCATGATATCACTAACGGAACCAGCTCCACAATATTCCATTACAATCTAAAAGTTGAAATTATATTAGCAAAATTATATTATTCAATAAATTATTCTACTTGAAATATATGGAATATAATATATCAATTTACCCATAAATCTGTATTCTTAAAATAACTTCCATAATATTTAACAACATATGGAGAGTCACATTGTTGCATAATTGAGATTTCCTTAATAATCTCCTGCAAGTCGGTATCAACAGGCACTTGTTTAATTGCAAGCACCTGTCCGCTCTCCTTGTGCAAAGCTTTGTAAACTGATCCATAAGATCTGTGTACAAAGATATTATATTATAGAAATAATAAAAAGATTTATCTTATCCTTCTTCATAAATATTGTTATATATTTACCCTTCTCCTAGTTTGCATATAATATCAAACACTTCTTCCGGCTGTCTTGTCAGACTTTCCTCCGATAACTTTTTTAATTCACTAAAAAGAATAATAACAATTAACAACACAGAAACACAGTTCTTATTATTAGACTTAAATGTCACATATGGACTCTGCTATAAGTCGCGGAGGAATTTTTGTTCATTTTGGATGAGATTTATTTTTGGCACAAGATTTAGCTGAATTACTTGGAAATCTCAGGCATTTAATCCGTTCATTAATATGCTTTTTTTTATTCAGGATTTAGGATTGTAATTTAGCAGGATCGTTTCGGCGTACAAAAAGATCCGAAGCAAAGGGTTATTCAACGCGATAAATAATTTTGAACGATCTCGAGTTGCAGGTTAACAAAGGGACAAAGAGTCGAACGAGCTGTCAATAAGGATTCGCCGAGCGATCGTTCGCCGTTAAAAATCCATCGTCGTCGTCGCTATAAATAATAACTTTCGAGGAACGACTTCGGCATCCGTGAGTCGCCAAAAAAACGTCGAGTAAAAACAAATCTGGATACCTCTTAGAGGACATCTTCGCGTCGATGTCAGATCGCGTGGAGATCTTGGACAGAAGCACGCGCGGGTTATTTATAGAAGACGGTAGCAACATAAACGCGAACGTCAAGTGATTATCATGCCGTGCGCGGAGGTAACATGGCCAATTAAAAATAGAGACGTTACATTTTTGTCAATAATAAATTAAAAGTATAACCGCACAACCGAAATATCGAAAAGCCATCGGCCATCGCATAGATGGTGCGGTCGACGAAAGGGTTCGCGAACGCATTAAAAATAGCACACACGGCGGTCCTCTTTAGGTTCGTTTCACACCAACGAATTTTTCGAGAATGTCGCGAAATGAGAGAAGCAAAAAAGACACGGCAGGAGCGTCACAATTCAATCTGTCCCGAAAATTTCTAGATTTTTCTTTATATATCTGAAATAAACGAGCTATTATTACATTTTTTTATAATACATAATTCTTAAATTTTTGTCCTCAAAGATGATAACTTTTATTTGAAATAATTTTTTTTCTTTGTAATAATACAAAATTGAAATCATAGATTCTTCGATTTTAAATGCTAGGAAGAGAAGACGAGGTAAAGGACTCGCATAACAAAATCTTTTATTAATGTTCGAACAAAGAGGACATCACAGATGTATAAACAAGTAATCTAATTAATAAATGACATCATGAACCATAACAGTAATTATATTTTTTTCCTCTTATTTCGATTTGGATTAAGTGAATCAATCTATTATCACATCGCAATTTCAAATCACTTTTACGATTTTATATATGTGTATGTGTGTGTGAATGTGTGTATATATATGCTATTCTCTACTTGCCAAAGTCTCGTAAATTCTTTTGTATTCAAGAGATTCCTCAGAATAATTATCGATACATTTTTTGTTAATAAATGAAATATCGACTCTTGAATGCCAGACAAAATTGAATATAATATATATATAGTCGAGGTACGAGCTTTTTCGTAATTATAGCAATTGACAAAGACAAACAGAAATCTTTTCAAATTGCTACAATTTATAGATGATACTTATTTATTCGAGAAGTATATAATACATCGATCTTATCAGCACACAATGAGAAAAGAAAACGTACTTTCTCGATGAGTACTTAATACTTGATTTCCGGCGCTTGCGATGCGTTTCTTTTCTTTTCTTTACATCTAAACTACTATTCGTCTATGGAACGGACTGTGAAATTAATAACACTCTTGTCGCAACGTGTTGGTTTGTCGCTAATAGTTTTCACTGCTTTTTTTCTTTACGGAATTTGCCATGTAATCCGTCCGCGGATTTCGTATCGCTATACACAAGGACAAATTACGGACAAACATCGTTCGCAATCTCGTTCCGCACATTTGGCAATAAAATACATAATTTGCTCAAGTCGTAAATTTGCAAACCTAATGAAGAAAAAGATAATGCGCATTATCTGCGAAAAAAATAGATCTATAAATATGAAATCGGTGATTGCGAACGTGGAATATTTCTCTTTTCTGTCACACTCTTATAGTTAATTTTTGCAATATTACATGGTCTCTGTACCAAGAAGAAAAAAAGAAAGAAGTAGCACTTATAAAATCCACTCACTTAAATGTAAAGATGTCCAGATAATTGGACTGTAAAATTCTCCAGAGAATCGCAATAAAAATTATTAGCCGCAGTGGCATTAAATTTCCCTTTTCAATGCCTGTTAAAGTTCGGAAAACGAAAAAAATTCTACGAGATTTTAAACATCATGAACTTTACATTGCTCTGAAAAAAGACACGATTGCCTTGATTGCTGCAAACGAAATAGTTTCGTTGTATATATCAAGAAATCATTACATAATGGATTTCGAAGATCCTAGTCTTAAACCCAGGTGATTAAATTGTTGCCTTAAATTGCAAATAGGTCAAGAAGAAAAGGTGTGAAACGTGTCTTCATAATCGAAAAATCACGGAAACAATCGTACTAGTCTAGTTTATACAGTCGTAACGTTAAAATACGTCGTGGAATTCATTCTTAAATATCTTACTAAACTTATAACATTATACTCCGGAATCGTTTAATCGCACGGCACATTTGCTTAAAACGCAAAACGTAAACGCTACTTTCTTCTCGCTCTAAACTCGTTACCGGATACATCAGTTACAAACAAAAAACAATAACAGAAACAAAAAAAACCGCGATGCCGGCGTTACACAATATGAAACATAATATATCCGATACAAACGAACGAAGGGGAATGATCACGTGCAATGAAAATGAATTCAACTCCACTCTGTAGGCAAGAACAAAGGTAGCGGCCGTACGATTTGAAACAACTTTGTTACGCGAGAGAAAGGACGCGTAGACAGGTAATAAGCGTAGCAGGCCGCGAATCGTTCGCTCGAGTGTTACTTGATCGGCTTGCCCCAAGCAAACTGTATTCCCAGACGCGGGATATCGCTACCGGTGGACGACTCGTCCTCGCTGCTGGACGCCGACGTTTCCTCGGAGATCATCGCCTCGCCGCCGGCCTCCTGAGGTCTCTGACCGCCGCTGATGCTGCACTCATCCACCGCGGCCGCAGCGGCTGCCACCGCGGCAGCTACCGCCGGATTCACGGTCGGCGCCACGGACGACGTGGAAGACGACGAAGAGGATGACGAGGAGCAGGGCGACGATTGGTCCTTTCTAGGACGTCGTCGCGCGATCGGCGTCGAATTGAATGTGGGCGACCACGCAGCGGCAGCTTCCTCTACCGTCGCGGCGCGAGCAGAATCGCACGTAGTTGTCGAGACACTCTTCGATCTCGCTCTGGTGTCCATGGTGGGTGTTCTGTTCGACAATCTCAGTGATCCTTGCCTAGAAACTGACGTCGCGCTTTCCGTGGATCTAGGTACCACCTTCGTGCCGAGTGAGTCGGACGACGATCCCTTAGCTAAATCGTCAATTTCCAGCGTCCAAGAGACGGAGGCGCCCTTCTCGACCATGAATTTCATCATCGATGATGACGAGTGAGCGCCGTTCTTTTCGGCCGAGAAGCTATGTTCCATCTGTTCTGCACCCGTAGACCGGGTTAGTCTTGGATTCAACTGATTCGCAAGAACGCTCACCCAGTCGTTCTTGTTTCGCAGCTTCCATTGTAATTCCTCGTTACGCTGTGAGAGTCGTTTATTATGTTTCGAGACTTGATGAATCGACTCGTGGAGCATCTCGTTTTCGTGCGAGACCTGCCGTTCGAAGGAATCTTTTCTTTGAAGCTGGGCCTTCAAATCTTCGCACCTCGCCTCTGCCATATCGAGTCGCATCTGCAACGCATCCTTCTCCTCGATGTCGCGCCTGTAACTGTCGAGTTCCGATCGAAGGGCCGCATTGTCTTTACTCTTCAGGTCCAATACGGTTCTCAAAGATTCAATCTCCGCCATTAGTCCTGCACCCTGGTCGTGAACGAGGGATCTCTTCATCTCTTCCTTGCGAGCCAGCTCGTTGACGTGCTCGGCGCGTAATTTCGCGATCGTCGCGCGATGTTCCCTCATGATCTCGTCCAGTCTAATATCGTATTTGCGCCTTTCCTCTTTCAGAGTCTCGACGAGTGCGGCAACCTGTTTCGCCCTATGAGCTTCCACTGGAAAATTAAATTGGAATGTTAATTTGATTTTGATCATTTTTCATTTTGGTACATTATAGCGGTTAATTATCAGAATTTAGTAAAAATTGGAATTTCTATCAACAAAAAAATTATTTTATTGTAGTATATTTTTTCCCTTGTTATTTGTAATTGGGTAAATAATATATGTGTCATTTGTAATTTTAAAATGGTTTTGAAATGGCAAATTTTCATGAACAAAGAGTGTGCATCATCAACTTTCCCCAACTGGTTTAAGCATTTCATGGATTTCCCTATTGTTGTGTGATGCACTTACGTGAAAATGCACGTAACAAAAAACACGTGTTCACCAGCCGGCACACTGATACATCAGATATGCCTTTCCTAATTATAGATGTCAGTATTAATAAGATTTAAGCCATGCAGCAGCAATTCGGTTAAATTTTGTATTCAATACTATGCTTGTATTTTTTTCTTTTTTGTTATTCCTATTTCTTTTTTTTTATGATTTACACATTTAAATAATTATATATATCTTAAACAAGTGAAAACTGTCCGCTATTTAGCATGTGTAATATTTAGAGAATTTTTTTGTGAATAAATAAAAAATAAATAAATAAAATAAAAATAAAAAAAAGGTTACATTTTTTATTTAAATTTTATAATTTAATATAATATATTTTGTTGAGATATTAGCATTTATATTTGAAAGCTAAAATATATACAAAGCTAAGACGGAGAACACGCATTGAATCTATAATTAGCGGGCTATTGAAACGTTGAACGTTACGTGAGAACTAATTTAAGAACAAAATCCTATTGCGCGGCGAATGTTGAAAATATATATCTTTTAAAAAAAGAAAAAAAGAGAAAGAAGAAAGGCAGAGTTTGGGAAAAATGAATTGCAAAGATTCGAGTTACGCGTAGGCACGGCTGAATTGTTCACTTTAACAATTGTTCCACTTCGTGTAGGCATGATCACTCGTGCACCATGACATTAGGACGATTATGCTCGTTTATATACGTGAATAACACGGGTGAGACTAATATATCCGTTAGCTGGTGTTCTGCACTCGATGTAATTTCTGTTTTGCGGCGCAAAACCTCACAAAAAGTTTCTCTTTTTTTTATTCGCGAACTTTGCGTCATTGCGTGCTTCCGAAATGTATATGTACACAGAGGGAATTTTCTCTTAGAATTTATCTTGAAATTCATGGTAATCCGTGGGACAATGGCACTGGAAGAATTTTATGAGTTCTTCGATTAATATTTACCACAATAAACGATATTAATATCTATTACCAATAAGATATAAAACATATTTAATTTTACTAAAATATATAGTAAAATTTTAATAATTTTATAATATATTAAAAACTTGTAATTCTTTAAGTGTTTTAAATAGAATAGAATACAAAAAAAATGATAAACAAAATATTTTATATAAATATTTAATATATTCAATTTAATAAAAAAGATTTTATATACCTATAAATTTTACAATGCAGCATGGCACTTTTCGACTTATTATCAAATATCACAAAATTTACTGAATTTTGCGGTAAAATAAAACGAAAAATTCTCTTCGTGTACAAGCCGCGAGAGATACCTTACGGAAAATAAACAAATGCACATTATATTATTACACTTACACTCGTCGCGAAGCTGGTCCAGATCTTTACTGTGATCCTCCCTCTCTGCTTCGAGTCTTTCCTCCATACTGACGCATCTCGCGCGTAAAGCGTCGACCTCCGAAAGCATAGCCGATCGTTCGTTCTTCATCTTCTCGCAATCGGTCTTCAGCTTCTCGAAATCTTTCTTCAATTGGGGAGTAGCGAATGCATCCAACTGAAAGACAGTTTCCCCATTAATTCCAATTTTGTGTACATCAAGCGACAAACAACAAATCAACAAACACATACCTCGAAAGCCAGGTAGTGAATGCTCACTGCAAGCGCTTGCACGGCTCGTTCCGCATGTTCCGCGTGAAAATCTTCATAAGGTACGGTGGTTTGTGCGGCCTGATCCCGCGTCCTCACCGTAAAGGTGGTGTTGTGATGAGCCTCCTTGGACTCACGATCTGTAATCAGCGTCGTCATCAAGAGCATCACTACATTGATTGCGTCCAAAAAAAGAGGAAAAAAACAACACGCAAATGTGTCGGCCAGACTGGCCCACCCACTCTGACGTATCAATGAATTCGGCCTACGTGCCGTTAATCTACATAAGTATCTTGATGATCGCACGTAATGTACATGGACGCTCTGTCCTCTATTACCCTCTATCGTCCGTGACTACTCGGGCAGGTCAATGTGTAATTCCGAGAACGAGAAATGATTTTTTTAAACGGTCCGTTTGCTCAAGTCTCGAGTCAATCGTCTTTGCAGTTCTGTGTGTATATATATAAAGGAGAGTTTCGACGAGGGAAAAGTCGATGGAAAACAACTTGGAAAGTCGAAATACTCGTTCTATCTTTGTTCGGCTCGATTACCTGTCAGGTTACTCATGTGCTTTGACAGGTGACACACATACACATACACATACACACACATGGAGAAATCGCGGCTTATCGAACGAGCGGAACAGCCGTAATTTCGCGGTACTTTACGTCACGTCCTGTTTTACAAAACTCGCGGAACGGACCTCTCTCTTCTCTCAAGAGTCTGAGCGCGCGATTGTCATCCAAGTTCACCGCTGAATAAGGAGACATTGGGTTAAGGTCAACCGTGCGACGCACTGGTCCCAATTGCTGAATTGCCAAAAGAAGACGCCTCTACGACTAAGCTCGGTGTCCGTGAATCGTGGCCAAGAAAATTGGCTTCCTACACGTCCCTCTCGGTACCTGCTACCCCTTCCATCGTGCTCCGATACGTCAGAAAAACTCAGGTATTTTGGGAACGGATCTACGCGTGTGTATCCGATTTATCACTAACATGCGACGTAAACAGATTCGGACATTGATTCAATGATTACAACATCCTTGAAAAGTGGCTGTACGACGCGCGGTAGCGTTCGAAAGACCGAACGACGTTTGTCAACCACCTTCGATGATAGAGAGTAATGTTCGATTCGTCCTCTGTTAGAGCGTCGCCGATAAACATTCCGCGGGCAATCTTCTAATCAGCATCGTCATTCGTAACAATCTGCTGGCCGAGTTCGCGCTTCGACTGAATTAGCACGAGCCACAGGCCACCTCCGAGAGCCTCTATATGCCTCTCCCACCTCACATCCATTCCGTCTCTTCACCGTCTCTTCCTATAAACACCCCTACCCTAGGAATCGCAAGGTGGAATCGCCAAGACTGAAAAACATAGATGGACAACGCAATATTTTCCCGCGCGAAACCTTTCCTTGAACAGAGGAAGTTTTTCTCGCGGAAGGAAACCCCGTTAGGTCTGAAAAAATCACGTTTCCAGTTATTTATGTGTTTCGATGCGCCTGAAGGAGAATTTACTTGGAATTTTCAGCAAGAAAAAATACAGATAGTCATGATTGCAATTGGCTATCAAATAGAGAATTTTGAAGTCTCAAACAATGTTTTCATTTAATAGCAAATCATGTATATCTTGTTGAAAAATTCACTTAGTTAACGGTCTAAACTGTGTGGAGCCCCTCGTTACAATCTTCTCTCTAGCAAAATTCCCGCAGTAATTGTACGCTTCCGGCGTCCTTGGAACCGGCGCGCGTCGTATAATTCGAGTTTTCCGATTTGGAGTCGACCGCCCTTAGATGGAAGGAAACGAGCGCGTGTTCGTGCTTACTTACGGTCGTCGAGCATCGGTTGCTCGTGTGTGTATGCATATATAAAACGTCTCTTGCGTCAGGATGAATGCCGAACGTGCAAGAACGACGAATGCAATCACTCGTCGATTATCCCTTGAAATACAACAACGCATCCTTTCAAAGCTCCACTCTTTACTTTGCGCACAACGGAGATCGTTGAACTCGTGTACTCGCTGCTTTCGCTATATTCCGCATTATTCAGAACGAACACACCGGATCTTGATAAGAATCTTTCCTTCTCCCTCTTTCTCTCTTGCGCGACGATAGACTGGAGACTCTAGACTAGGTCAAAGTGCCGGTGAATTTTTGACAGGTTTCGAAAGGAAAGCACCGAGAGAGGCGCCAGCTAAAACAGGTTGAGTTTTTTAGCGTCAGGGATTATTGAGTGAAAGCTGTGTGACTTTCTTCGCAAACGACAAGAAGAGACTCGTACGAATCAATGTGCACGCATGTACCTACATGTGTATGCATATATGTATGTACAATACGTAAGGAGCGAGCGATGCGTTATTGCACTGAGTAAATTAAATACGCTCGACTGCGTCTGCATGTATGTTTTGCGGAATATAATCGTGGGAAGTTTTTAGAAACTATACTGTACTAAAGTAACGCGATTAATGGATTATATTGGAAAGTAAATAACGTGCGAATACTAAACTTGTTGGCTCTGTTGTTTGCAAAGTGGACGACGAGCGTAACGGAACGCAGCGCTGGGTCCTTTAATACGTATTGTATTCTAATTGACGAAGGAATTTTTGCTCGAGAATACAATCGTTACGTACCTTTTATCGACGGTCCAGAGGATTTTTGTTTCGTCGTAGCGTTAGCCGCTAATCTCCTCGTTATTGCTGGCTTTCGTGCTGCCGGTGGGCTCTTCTCTGTAAAGAGAATGTGTTGCGTTAACGAGAGCATGTTAAGCACTAACCGGTAGTACTAAGCGGGCTCTCGCGTACGAGTACCGTACGGTAAGAACCGTTTTATCGCGAGATAAGGGAAGTTATAAAAATATTAAGACCTGCATATGTATGTACGCAGAGTGCCCCATATAGATAGGCTACACTGTATTTCTTGTTAAAAAATGTATATCTTTTTTTATCGGCAAAAGTTCCGCTACATTTATTATTGCTTGATTCTTTACGTCAAAATTTGGATAATTTTGTTACATTTGTCTAATATTTAGATTTTTATAATAAAATATTTAAGAAATTTTATTTCACATAAAAGTTGATGAAAATTCTTGTTTGGCAGCAAAATATACTTTCCGTTTCTGATATAAAAACAAAGTTAAATAGAAATTACTATCTATGATGTAAACTTTCGATTTAATTTATTAGAATTTACTTAGACTTAATTACCTAATTATAATAAATTACTAATTATAATCAGTATTTTCATAGACTAAATTATACTAATTATAGAAATTTTCTATTAAAAATTATATAAAAGATCAAGAAGTAATAAATGCATCATTAAAAAATGAAATATCTCGCGAAATAATCTGTAAACAAATATTCTTAAAAAGGATGCATTTCCGGAGAAAATTTGCTAAAGATGTGTTCATTACAAATTGTCGGTTTGCAAACATTCGGCGCATTGTAAAAAGCCTGATATGTATATATATACATATGCAATTTAACGCGAGTTCAAAGTCGCGATTCACGTACAGCTGAATAAAAGATCAGATTATTCTAATGAATACAATTAACATGCGCGGACGATGAGGCAAAATACCGTTAAAATTCCGACCTACGTAAAAAAAGAAGATAGGCCTGAGAACTTTAATCTTTGGATCCGTCTTGAATAATTATTCGAACAAAAGATCTTGAGAATTTCAGTGGCGAATCGCATCAAGTGGTATAAATCTCTGCGAACGGAGAGAATTTTTCCGTCTTCGTTCCGCCTTTATCCCGGGGGAAAGTAGCAAGGCGAGAGAACTATACGCTCTAAACTGGACTCTGTCAATGGAATTATCATGACGACCGCGCACTCGCTCCCTTCCATCGACTGCTTAATGAGAAAAAGTGAAATTTCGAAAATATTCTAATGCGCACGCTATTTAGCACACGCAACTCCTCTAATACTTTATGAATCCGCAAACCGGTAGCGATGCAGCCGCAGTTTGGTCAAGCTAGTCTTGGCCAGGGGATAAAAGACGGCTCTCTCTTTTCATCGTGTCGTTCGTCATGGTGGCGGAGCTCTGGCCGGAAATACGCGACGGTGCTCTCGTTCCTCTCCCTCCTTCGATTATTAAAGCGATATTGTGCACGCACGGGCGTAGTTATCCGATGGATCTCGAATGACAGAATCAGTGGCAGGTCTTATATATTTACCGAGTTCGACCGTCGTCACGTCGATGCAGTTCTTTTTCGCGTCGAAACTGTTCACACGGACCGGATGATGATTAACGTGGCCGTTCGAGACGAATCTCCTGGGCGGGTTGCTGGACGTCGGCGATCTCTCTGTAAAATAAATAACACGCGATATGAAATTAAAATGGCTAATTACTTTACCAGAAGAAAGGCGAGATTAAAACACATAGTGATTAAATGAAACGCGACAGATGGTCTTTGATTCACGCTACAATCACGCGCGGCGAATCAACCGTTACACGGTCACCGAATCCATTCCCTTCTCTACCTCGTTTGAAGCTGCCTAGACGCATCTTCGTCGAGTCTCGGGCGAAGTCCGTCCTCCTCGAGATCGAGGATCTGTCCTTCGATCCTTGCTGTCCCATCTTGTCCCGTTACGTTGTCGTTATTGTTCACCAATGTTGTTTCCTCATTATAATCCGTGAGTAGAATCGTCCGTGTTCCCCGTCGACGAGAATACGACTGGCCTCTCGCGCCTCATACCTTCATCCCGTCGCACTTCCTCGCGAATCGAGCGTGAGAATCGCTCGAACGTACGTGAAACCGTCGCCGCCGTCGTGGCGACGTCGTTCTCCAAGCCGAGATATACAACGGGCATCTTCCGGTCGAGTCGGGGAATCGATCGCAACGCGTTGTTTGTCTTCGTTCTTTCACAGGAGCTCTTATATCACAGCCGCCCCGCCGCTCGGTACATCATCTCCCGCGTTATACTTCGCCTCGGACATCCGACACCGCTTGATATAGGAACACCGTATCGCGCTTTGTTGTATCACGTATCGGCACAGCCTCACTTGGCAAATTCCGTGAATATCGTTCCGACCGACTATTATTACCAGGTCGTCGAGAGCTCGATCGCGCAATAATCTCTCGCGTAGGTTTCTCAGCAGCGATCGCTACCGATTCCGATTGCGTAAGTTCGGATCGAGGGACCGGTAGTAGTCGGGTACCGATACTCGTCGACCTTGGTCCCAACGCACGTGGTCGTCGTCGGTACACCTGTCGCCGCTGACGAAGGTGGGGACGAGCCGGACGGAGGCAGGAGAGCATCCTTTTCGCCGACGTGCGACGAAGATGCACTACGACGAAGGTGCATGGTGAGGCAAGGTGCAAAGAAAGCAGTCCGAGAAGAAGGCCGGAAATAAACCGCGAATGGCGTTGACCCGTACAGCTGTGCTGTTAATGTGGACCTAGACGCCGCATGCAGGTGGACGACCCGGTGCACACGTACATAGAGTGCACGCAGGTAAATTACGATGGATCACGACGATGCTTGAGATGCAGGCAGTGAAACGCCGACGCGATGTCGCCCTCAAATTGCACGGCACGTCGATGTATAACGGAGATGTCAAATCCCGGTGTGGCGACAGGTGGGGAGTCAACGGTGAGCCGATGAATGTACATACGTATACAGCGGGTAAAAGCGTATATAAAAGAGTATATAAATCGCGGAGAATATTAAGACACAGCGGAATATTAAAGAGTTTATAAAAGTTCGTGGAAAAGGAACCTTCACGAATTACATGTCCGCGTATGTGATCGGCACGTGTGCATCGTGGCGGTAAAAGGACCGAGGAGAAGGCGACTCCACGAGAAATAGGTCATACATATATATAAGAGGCAAGGCGCGACTCCCCTCTCTCTCTCTCTCTTTCTACATACACTTGTGTCCAAGAAAACGTTCGCATTAGGAACAACTTCCGGAGGAGAAGATGTTACGTCTTCTCCTAATGTTCGGTCTAGGACCACCTTCTAGTTGATCGCGCGATATTCACGGTCACTCGATGCTTGATCCACTGGCAACGCATCGAGCTGTCATCAGGCCATCCGCTGCTCTCTTTTCTCTCCCCGCGTTATAGGTTCATGCGCTGCTACGCATTCTCCTCTCGTTGACCCGATTTTGCGAGAGCGAGGGAGAAGTAATAGGTGTGCGTTTCATGAGAGAAAGACTGACGAGCGTAGGCGAGGGGCTAATGCAAAGATACATGCGCGCACTTCACACACATACATTTATGTGTATATATACATGCACACACAGACGATACGATTCAACACGAGGTCCACCGAGGACTACCGACCATCGGATGGATGCGACTGCGGCGAAGCTGCGCGATGCGCAGCTTCCTCCTCCGTATACAATAGAAGCAAAACGACGCCGCGTTCTCCAGTGGCGCCGATAAAAGGGGCAATAAAGTTCCTCTAGGTCTCCTCGACGGCCGTGAGCTTTTACAGCCGCGAGTCGATAAGGAGACCTCGCCTTTCTCTCCGGTAGGTAAACCATAGAGAAAAGGATCTCTTCTATTTGCGCGTCTCATCTCTTCCCGGAGATAAAGTATTCATTCTTACTTGCAAGGGCAATTATGTGTCTTCCAAATAAATTCAAGGATTTCTATAAAATTATATTGTTTGTCGTCTTGCATACCTTGATGAGAGATAAGGAAATTAGTCCTGCGCCAATTTTGAATGTTTTGAAGTTTTAATCTTACTTGTCCAATAAATTCATCAAAAATGTATATCAGACTATATGCACGTGTGAAATAACGTTGTATCTTTTTTTTAGTAAAATACAGATACAGACCTTCTAATATCAATCTAATAAGTCACACGGTGAAAAAATCTACAAGATGAAAAAAATATCTCTTGTTGCTCGTATTTATTCCACGCACACACACAAGATTCATTCATCATATATAATTAAACAAAAGTTTTCATCCCTGTGACACGACCATGTTCTATATTCTTTAAATATGAATATTGATTTTACTTACTTGGTATATCCTTACTTGGGCCACTGCTGAGATCGCTCATGGAACTACGAACAGAACTTCTGGCTGTTTCCTGCGTTGGCGATTTCATTTCTTGCCAGCCACGCATCCTCCTAAGATTTTGGAAACATTTCCGATATAGTTTACGATACAGAGAAGAAATGCGAATCGATTTTATAATCATAAATAACAGATTTTGTCAATATTTTGAGAATTATTATCATCTATAGACGTCGTTATATTGTCGGCTGTTTCTTTAACTTTTAATGACGTTACGTATCTTTACGCACATATTTTGACACGTCTATGTACATATGTACGCGACGACACGTAACGAAAGTTACATCATTATCGTTGAAAGTTAGAGAAACGGCGTATTGGTAAAATAATCTATTTATATCATCATTCATGTTATATTAAATCATTTCAAGATTCTACATTCGTTATATCGAATTATATAATTATATATATATATATATATATATATATATATATATATATATATATATATATACATACACATACATACTATATATATATGTAATTTACATATATTTATATAATAATATATATATTACACTTATAATACAATTACACTTATAATTTTATTTAAGACTCTTACCGTTTGTCCTTATTGTTATTGTTATTCGCATCGCCAGCCTTCTTCGACGTTGGTCTCGCAGCAGGCGATAAAGTGAGATTTTGCAATACCCTCGATTTGACTTCTTTTCTAGCTGACCTTGTTCTTTGCTCATTTTTACCGGCCTCTATCTTGTTCATTACGGCATCCCAGCGTCCACCCTTTCTAGTTGATCTTTGAGAACGTCTCGCCTCCTTTTCTGCATCATCTTTTGAAGACGACTCAATCATCGCCTTTATCTTTGAAACGACATTTCTCTTGGGCATTTTATACTTTTTCAAAGGCACCGAATCAGCCTTGTTTTGTGGTTTGGGCCTAATGTTCTCATTATTCTCGGCTACTTTCTCGATTACCGTAATTTCAGCGGAAATCGTTGTATCGTTTATGCCCGATTCGTCCGACACCTTTACGGGATTCTACAAGTATTTTACGTATTAATGACATTTTGTGAAGAGAATTTAAAAGCAAAAACTACATCTTGTGCACTTGTAGACTCCCGTAAAGGCGTCGAACGAAACGAGTAACATAAACGACACAACAATTTCCGCTCAAGTTACGGCAATTAAGAGAGATAAAAATGAGAATCTTAACATTAAATCTTATTAAGTTTCTCCTTATTCTCGACCTTCTCGATTGCTCTAAAAGCGGAAATTGTGTCGTTTATGCTATACTCGTTTCGTCCGACGCCTTTACGGAATTAAGTGTTTTACGTATCAATGACATTTTGAGGAGATAATTTAAAAGCTAAATCTTGCTCTTGTACCTACCTGTAAGTAATCCATGATAACATTCGTTGCAACCGGCGTGGGTTGACTCCTCTGGGAGAGCTCAGTATCTCCTGTATCAGGGGTGTGATCGTCGTTTTCTTCCGACGCTTGTTCGCCGGGGGCTTGCAGCTTGTCCAAGTCTGAATAAATTCCACTAGAGTCCATCTCCTCTCCGGTGAAGCTAGGACAGACGCGTTCGCCTGGCGCGCAGAACAGCGTGCCGTCGATCACTTGCGCTTTCCTGTCACCCCGCACAATCTCCTCGTGCGCGTCCGCGTCGCTCTCGGTGAAGAAGTCCGAGTCGGTCATCGGGTCCTGGCGGCAGGGCGCGGGAAGATTGACCGGCGGCACTGCCATAGATGGTGGATCCGCGCCGCGACTGGCCGGTCTCGAGTTCTCGCCGTCTCCTTGGTAGCCCGCTTCGAGACTAGTGATGCTCGTGACCGACGTTACGAAGCTTACCGGCACGGTACTGCCGCCTCTGATCGGTTCCACGGGTTTAGGATCGAGCGGCAATTCTTCCGGCGAGGGTGTCCTTTCGCTACAGCCCTCCTCGGCGGGTTCCACGTCGACCAACGGCCTCGTGGAAGCGGACGCACGGGTCAACGCTAATTTCGAACCGGCCGAACCAGTGAGATTTTCGCAGGATGGTGTCCTAGAACACTCCAACGCTACTGTGAAATCGGTCATCTGGTCCGGCGTCAGTATACCAAGGCTCTCGTCGTGCTCGAAGGAGTTTTGCTTGTTGAGCATCAAATAATGCGGCGTTGCGCTCGCATCATTATAACTGCCCAGGCCAGATTCTACGAGACAGGTATCGCCGACATCTTCGATCATGCTCAGCTGAGAGTCTTCAAGTAGCCTATCATCAAAAGAATTTACAAGGTGAAACAAATTGTTATTTGATGAAGCTATTATATATATTTAAAAATTTATATGATTATAAAATCATGATTATACCTGAACAAGCTGCTTTTTCCTCGCTGAGGTGTACCAATTGTTGCACATCACTCTTGTCGATGTCCCATTCTGGTGATATCGTGAACGTCTCATTTGTCGCTGAATTGGCTGAAACAACACGGAATTCATTCGTTTCATATACGTCAGCCACATCGAGTGAAAGCGTTATCGTAATTATTATAAGTATAAGTTCGCGTGCGCGCAATTACTTTTAATGGTAGGCGACGATGTCGTGAAGCCCGAGAACTTTTCCCGTGAAGTAGGCGATTCGTCCTCGGTATTAACGAACTGAAAGCATCCCGAGAAGATTGTGGATCGACGACTTCCCGATAAGAGCCTCGACGCCTCGAGGACTCTCGATTTCGGAAAGAACGACGGTCGGGCTGCCCGTGGAACAGGTATCCGGCTCTCCCCTACGTTCTGTAAACAAAAGATCAAGATGGGTGTGAGTGGGTGCGATTTCTTCTTCGAGTCACGCGAAGATCGTCCCGATAGTAATGACAGAGAACGAGTGTTTCTCGGTAATTAGTTAAATTAATCATCGCTCAATTACACGAGTTAGTTCGCGCGTAGTTTGGTAATTATTTTTCTCTTTTTTTCTTTTCAAGGTCGGCCGTTAAATTCGATCCGACGAGCACGATAGTCCGTTGCCCTTGGCCCATCTCCAAATTAATAGCTCCACCCCTCGAAAGATGAATCAGAAATGTCACAGTTGCTTAATTTAATTTTAGTTCGCGACTCTACGTTTCTTTTTCCTCCTCTCTTTCGTGAGTACTTCTTCTTCGTCTACTTAAATACAAACGGACGCCAGATTTCGTACGGTTCTTCCTCTCGTCACGTAACAAGCGTACGTAACACGAGAAATACGAGGAACGAATACAATTATAGCTGATTGTTAAACTTGTCCTTTCAAGTCTCTGTGTATGCGTATATGATATATATATATATATATACATATATTTTAACGCTTTACAAAGTAACTCGATTTCGTTGTTTTCCAGCGATCTACGTGCTTTTCTCATCGAAACGAGGCAAACTGTGCTAGCGTGTCTACGGACAATAGAGCAGATATATCATCATCATCGATGCCCTCCACGATGCGAGAAACGGGACACCTACGTAACGTACGACGATACAACGTGTTGAACGTGTAAACGAACGTCTGTGCTGAGAACTAGGTTACCGCGAAAACCCCGCTATGTGAGGCTCCATCAGGACTGTAAATTACCGGCAAATCCCTCCTTCTTCTATTCCTACGGTGACTATATTTTCCGAGAGAAAATAAAGGACAAGTCTGAAAATTGTACACAGTAGGAAAATTTGTTTTCTTGCTAAAAATGGTCCCCGTTAAAATTTTTGTGTTAAATATTTAATACATTCATATTACTGTTCTGTTAATTGAACTTAAATGTTAAATTATTAAAACAATTTAAAAAAGATGTAAAAATAACACAATGTGCATCTATTTTTAATTTTACATAATAAATATGTTCTGTTTTATTAGTGACAAGATTTATCTGTTAAAATTTTACAGAAAAAACATGTTTATTTTTTATTTTATAATATAAGTGGGGATGATAAAGTCTCAAATCAACATATTTTTAGTTAATTTTTACATTAAAACTATGTTACTTTTACACAAAATTTTAAATTAGATACTTGAAGTTTTGCATCCATTTTTAAAAAATATTACCACAGTATTTGCGTCTCCATTTAACATATCTGTATTATATTAAATTAACACAAAAATTTCTGTGAACTGTTTGGGACATATGATATCTGTTAAATTTAACACAAATTTTTCAGCTGTGTGTGTACCTTTGTTTCAACATGTTTCCAAATTAGTTGCGGCCAAAGTGGAGAACAACGATGAGCAGAAAAAAAATAATTTTGTGGTCATTAGAAGTTACGTAATAGTTTGAAACTGATTCAACTATGTTGAAATACATCCTTGGTTTCTTAAATAGATTCCGTTGTTTTCGTACTAATTTTCATGTCAATATTATGACATTAGAGATTGAAACGCTGAATAAAACATAAGGGGCAAAATTGTTACATAAAGAACATTTTAAAAATCAAGAATAAAATTGAGTTTTGGAAAGATGAATTTTAAAGAACAGCTACTTGCAATAAAGGACTGTTCTCCAAAATATGGAAATGATCGTTTGCGAAGATACGATACTCGGCGATAACAATTCAATTTTTTAAATCTCGAATATTGAAATCTAATCTTCCCTCAATTTATCAGCAGACGTGATAAATATTTTTTTAATATGACAATGAACATGCAATAAAAACATCATTAAAAAAAATTATGCAGCACAGGTCAGAACCTGTTTTTTTTTAGCCGCAAGCGTACGATGTATCGATATTTCTTTTCTTTCTGCTGCTGGTGTATTTCGTTTAAACCAACAGAAGCCACGCGAAACGGTAATGTAATGGGTCAGCAATCATCACGGTCACATCACATGCGCCTGTCTGCGTGTGTGCCTTTCACAACTCCGTAGATCTCATTCGCGTTATTGAAATTTACATTTTCTTCTTCGCGTAAATTACGTGTATCTGCAAGACGTATCTAAGCGACGCCGGAGAACGACGCTGTCGCGGCAATAAAATGCCAAGGTGAATAAAAGGATAGAGAAAAGAACGGAATGTCCTATACTGTGATTCCGATCGCACATGTTGAAAGATGGGGGAAAAACGCGAGTCGAATTGACGAATAAATCGACGAATAAATTTTGAGCGAGCGAGAACGAAGAGATATCGAGAGCATCGCGGTTTATCCTTTCGGAACCTTAATTCCCGCCAATTTGTGCCGACACGCGTCCGACAGTCATGGTTTGTTACTTTTCTAATGTGGAAACCGCTGAGCGCGTTCCTTTAACCGTATCCCGAGAGAAGAAAGAAGCTCCTCATCTTTCTCCCATGGATGAATTATGTAAAGACAATTTGAAAGAACGGCATATATTCTCCCGCTCATTCAAGAGCGCGTTAAATCGCTATGGGTGTTCCCAAGACGTGTGTCGGCGATATCTCTTCTCTTCTCCTTTCTCGCCTAAGGGCGATATATCCGAGAGACCGAATAACGATAATTTACGGTTTTCATCGGTATACCGGTTTCCGAGGTACATAAAAATCGGTCGGGGACGATGTATTATGCCGCGGCGGAATTTTTTTCCCTCAATCGCGTTCCCCGCAATTTTACCCGATTCATGAGACGTTATGCAATTACGTTAATGCGCGTGACAGCACGATGACTTGTGTAACACGGGTTATTGGCGACGTAGCTGTTGGCTCGCGATTGATTATAATCTCCAATAAAATACGTTCCGTGGCACGCGTTCCCGATCGACTGACTCTTCTCCGACACCTGTCTTGCGATAAGCTTAAAATTATACGAATAAAAAATATCTTTTGTTATATTTGTGTGCGCACAGAAAAAAAAGAACAGTTAATTTGACTAAACCTTTCAACTAAATTACTATTTAATCGAACGTATATTAGTATTTAAGTCAAATATACGTTTTGTTAGATTTAAATACTTTTTTATGTTCAATTAAAATAATATTTAATTGAAAGATTTAGTCAAGTTAATAAATCTTTTTCAGTGAGTGTTGCTTAAAGATAATGAACTTAGGGCCGGTTGTTTCAACTTTTTGACAAAGTTTACCCGACAAGTAGCATATCCTCGAGTCTTTTTAGAATCGATCTGAAAAGAAACGAAAATATGCTACCTATCGGGTAAAAAAACTTACCAAGTTGGAAAAATCAGCCCTTAAAATTTTTATTTTCGAGATCGCATTCACACGTGATACTTGCAATATTTCTGATATTAATTATGTCTTATCTAACGTTGCGTGATATCGTTGAATCGTTATCGATGCCACTGTCAACAGTTCACCGAACAATATAAACATTAGCAATTATAAATTTTCGATCGATGTAAAACGTGGCAAAATTATTTATACATATACCTCGTCGGATATGTTACTTTGCACTGTACGGAAATATCAGTATATAACCTTCGTAGATAAGCTATCGCAAATATTGTTGTTAACATTCTTCTGTTTTTTGCGAGTCTGGGATCGATAAGAATCCGTAGATTGAAATTATTGATTACATACGAGATCCAGATGGATGTATACTCACAAATAAACTCGTTAACACGCTATAATTAATTTCAATAGACTTCGTTGACACAATCTTCCTCAACGAGGCGTATAAATTGCCATATGCGTGGAACGTGAGAGAGACAATTAACTTTTATCGCTCGTCAGCATTTACGTCGAAAAATATTTCGTAAAAAAAGACAAATTAGCGCGCGCGTGCATCAAAATAAAAAAAGCAAACAAACATACCCCGTGTCATCGGCATTTCTCGCACGACACCGACCAACTGAATCAGCTCGCAAAACTTTCCACGGGATATGCACGCACAGACACAAACACAAACACAGCGCGTCGTAGTTTTCCCGGCGGAAAAAATGAGGGAAGGGGGAGAAGAAAAAAAGAGACGAAGACAGAGAGGATTTTCGCGACATAAGCTCGTAAAACGCGAAGGATCGATAAACGACTAACGACAGAGGCGAGCCGCGGCGATCGCGTTGCGGCCGACGCGGCGGCGTGCACGACAATAAAACATTCCGGATCCGCTTCGCGAGAGATCCCCAGCTACACCTGCTCGCGGCGGTGTTCCTCTACCACCACACCACTCGCCCCCGCCAAAGCCGCCGCTACCAGGCGCGTATCCGCGGCCTGGCCTCGCAAAGCGTCCATCGAGCGGGAGCGAGCCGGCGACGACGATTACTCTATTCCGTCTCCGAGCACAACATGCGGGGCCCTTTCTCGCATTCACCACCCGTAAATCCGTCGTGTACGCGACCTGCGTGTGCGATGAGAAATGTCATTCGAGATTTTATATTGCAAATAAGCTCGGTACCTCGCTTTTCTCATTGTCGCAGACTGCATTATATGTACGTTATTTTATATATTTTATATATTGTTATATATTATTATATCATAAATTGTAATACTATATTATGTTAATATTAATAATAGATTATATTAATTATATTATATAAATTCTACTTGTTTAAAAAAATAAAATGTGACAATAGAAGTGCGCTTCGTGCTTATCGCTTCTCTCATTGTCTCAATTGTATTATGTATATATTATTTTATATTAAATTATAATATATTAATTCTGCTTATTAAAAAAACAAAAAAATATATATATAAGAAAATAAAATTAAAAAAAGAAATAAAATACGAAAAAAACATGAAAAATATATGAAAAAAAAAAAAAATAAAAAAGTAAAATGACATGGAAGCGCGCTTACTTTTGACATTGTTGCTTGAAATTCGTTGAATGTCGAATAAGGTTTTGTTTAAAGCCTCTTGTGTGTCACTTGTTACTCAATATCTGGTTACGCACGGATATGTTAATTCGATATATAAGATTGTTAGTGTTTGTGCGTATTCGCGCGTGTGGAAAATGGAACACTGGGAAATTCGCCAATGTCCAGATTATCTATCCGCGTCTGCGCCGTCGAAGTGTGGAGCGTGTTGCTCTTCAATTATGTAAAAGTAGCATCATACTTTGCTCGCGTGCATGCGACCCAACTGTGGATCATTTCGCAATATTATTATTATTATCAGCCGTTTTATTAGTCTCTTCCCCAAACGACAAGAATCTCCGATTATACGAATAGAACGCGATGAATCGAAAATATTGATAATATGCGTCACAGCTCAATTAAACCGAAATCAAATAATCACCCTCCTACTTCTAATTGATATACGAAATCTAATTGTACGAAATTAATGAAAAAGAAATCGCGGAATAAATCGCGCGTCATTTTTCCCGATAACAGCTGTTTATAATTCGATCAGCAGAGCAAGTAAAATCACAAATAAATATTTTGTTTTCGTTTATATAAATCTCATTATTAATTCTCCCTCTCTCTCTCTTTCTCTTCGCGTTAATTGGAGTTCAAAGATACCCTACTGCCACACTTACAATAATTGTTCGCTCGACATTTTGCCGGTTATTGACTTTTATTATACCCGTTATTGACAGTGAAACGTAAGAACGTATTTCCACTCGCGACACATCGAGACCCGTGAAATCGTACATCTCTCTATTCCCAGGACGAGACTCGAGCATCGTCTCTCCGCGACGAAATCTCACCCTTTTTCGTCCTTCGATGACTTACCTTAGCCATCTCGTGGGTGGGACCGCGGCGATTCGGCACTCGGCGCTTCTCCCTCGCGTTCCTGGTTCGTGGAAAGGCGCGATAAGGGCGTCCCGCCAAATCTCATTCCCTCTTCGTCGTCCTCGTCGTCGCGCGGTTCTCCCGGCTTCACGGATCAAGTATATACGCAATAGACGATATTCTCGGCGTCTCTCGATTACGCGTATCTCCGTCGTCCCGACTTTTTCGCGAATGACGCGACGCCTCGTACACGCGACGACGCTCTCGACGTCGGCGTCGTCGACGACGATGTTATTGATCGACGCCGCGCGGAGGCGTCGCTGTCCGCTGTATCGCGGCGGTCAAGGGTTGGAGGGGAGGCACCGATCGGGTGGCGGCGCCATATCGAAATATTCTCGCCAATGTCCCCCCCCTCCCCCCCGGAAGGAGGGGGAGAACACTCGCGCATCCTCGAATCGAGATGTTTATGTGCTAATTTCAGAGAGCGCGAAGTACGTTTACTTTGCGATGAACGATTAAAAATCCTCGTAATATCCCCGATATGTCATTATCGGTTCCTGTCAAAATACAGCTGATCCGACGTCAACAGGCTTTTTTTCAAAGTCGACAAAGAAAAACAAAAGTCAATGGCTCGGGAGAAATCTTTCTCCGATTTTTCCTAACAGTACACATATATCTTGAAGACGTTCAGAGAACATCCTGAGGAATGTTCGAATGTTCTCTAGATATTCTCTATGATATATTTATCTTATCTTCAGAATGTCTTTCGGGTTTACGATGCTATTAGGGTTTGTAAATAACAACGAAGTAATTCGTATCGGGAAAGAGTGGGGGATGCAATCACAAACATATATCTTGAGAAGCTGTGTACTTCTACTTTTCTCGATTAAAGACAGTCACGCGAACGCTCATATATACAGAAGAGGGAATATTTCTGACTCACCATTGTTAAAGCTCGTGTCAAACTATATAATTCTCCGTATTTATGTTTCTTCGCTCCGCTATATCGCGCGTGTATACCTGTGTATAACCGTCCGGTATCACGATTGAAGTTGTTCGCGAAAGTGGTGAAGGTTACACATGAATCGATGTATCGATTATTCGTATTGTCCGCTCGATTTTGCGCGACTCGCAGCGCTATCTGTTGACGCGGCAGAAGTCGAGAACTAACTCGTTCGACGACGCAGCTGTCGGTAACGTCAACCTTCCTCTTATCGGAGCTGTCAATTTTGTAAATATAATAGAGAGGTATGTTCGCTGGAGGTTATTGTTGTTCGCAAAGTTTATAACAATTTAAACGGTTCGTTATAATTTTGTCTCGACTAACAGTCGCAAATTTTCTTTCAGAAAAACAAATATTTATTCATTATTTATGGGAGAGCTATATATAAATATCTCACGAAGAGATGACAGATTAATATAGGCGGTTTTACAATTGAATATTTATTATGTTTTTTTAGATCCGTAAGTATAACTTGACGATTAATAATTATAGACGATTATTAATAATTATCATAGAGTGTGTATTATTACACGAGTAATGTTTCATAATATGTAATAATCGTCCTTACTTTTTTCTTCGAGAAATAGACGCGCGCATTTAAATTCGCAGAAATTGTGCAATTATACGTATTTCAACTCTGACACAGACATCTTTTTTTGTAAGATTGCACACAGATAAAATCATAATTGACTGTTGTGTTTTATAACATGCATAATAATGTTCTTTTTTTAAATATTTGAATATCGATCTATATATAATCGCGTCTCTCTCTGTAAAATTTATTACATAGATAGAGATACTTCGCGTTCGGGATGATTCTACGCTCGCAGTTAGACATTAATTTATTTTATCGCGATAATTAAGCAGCCGATAGCCAAATTTAATTGCGTTCGTTTATTTCTCTTATCGATGAAAGCCTACGCTCGAGGATATTTTGCTGATTCGCCGAAAGATGAGCGAGAAAAATAAACATTCGCGATGTCCGATTGCGTAACAATAGTCAAGTACAAATTCCCTGTGATTGGCAAAAAAAAAGCTTACCTTGTTTAACCTTAAGCAATCGCGCATATATACATACGTGTCGGTTGAATGAGCGTATTGTGTCAACATAATATAAAAATGTCATAATTCTTTCTCTTTTTTCAAAGTGCGGCGTTTATACGTTCACACACATCAAAGTCTATCCAGTGCGACACGATCATCGGCATCAAGAAGACGACGGAAAAGCGTCTCTCCAGAAGGTCGGAACGTGTTTTCCGGAAATACGAAGTGAGCAAAGATATATGTATGAAAAATTAATTTTTTGCTTATTTTAATATTTTAATTATAATAATTATATATAATTATAATTGATTTTTAAATTTCTCTCCGCTGCACTTTTGTACAGTTTAAATAATATCTTTCTTTACTTGTCTAATTAGGACACTGATAATTAAAGGCACAACAATAGGAACATATAAAGGATGTCCATACCGATTTAATCGATCAGGATATACAACTTTAAATTGACACATATCAGCTGATATATACTGTCGCTGCGACTTGATTGATTTTTTTAAAGAAGATGAGTTGCAGCAGCAAAAATTGAATTCAATACAGAATTTGCAATTTATCAGACTTGTCGGGGAGATAATCCCTTGAATAATAAATCGCCTCTTATTACGTAAGTATTCGATAAAGTTGTCGAATTAGAGTACGCCGCATTAATCGTCGATATACGAAATTATTTCGCTCTTCTTCTTATTGTTCGTGATTCACAGATACGTGTATATGCATGTGTGTGTTAACAAGAAATAGTTATTAAATTGCAAATCGTCTACATCCGCTTCTGCGACGTCAAAGTAACGAACTATCTTCTGCGTCATTGCGATAGACACGATGGCACAAAGCGCGATATTTATAACAATAATCTTTCTCTATAAAATCCTAGATAAAGTATACATTGCGATATTATCGTATTCTTTATAAAAAATAAATATCTTTTTCTTTTAACAAAAGTTCTGGAAATTAATATATCGTTTTTTCGAGATATCTTATATTTTTTAATTTGCTAATAATATTACTGGTGCATTTGCTGTTTCTTAATCTTTCTCTTATTGTAAATGATTTTTCATGAAAAAAGATGTGTTTACAATTAAATTTAGTGTTTCACATATTTATAATAAATCAATACTTGGAGAAATTTTATTTGAGTTAATATAAAAATAGGATACTTTCTATTATTCATAACCTTGACCTTTTTTTTATTATATATTCTCATTCAATATTATAAAGTAAATGAAGAATATTAGTATGCTTATGATTTTAATAGTGTCGTGAAAAAATATGATTAAAAAATAAAATATCTCGAAAATAATGCATTTCTTAAAATTTTGGAAAACAATATTTTTTATTATTCTGCATCTTATCTATATGATAAAATTTATAAAGATAATACATGCAATATTTTAAATAAATTATGAGCGCACTAATTATTATAATGATGAAATATATATGCGTGTATTTTATCGCACAATATAACAGATATTCAGATTTTGCGACGACAAAGTCACACAGTATAAATATAGCCAAGATTTTCAGTGAAACACTCGCGCAAATCTCCGTTCTTTAAACACATTTTTCGCAATTTGCGAAAATGATTTCGCAGAAGAAATCTTCGTTAAATTCCCGCGCGTCGCGCCGCATACCGTGACGTTTCGCCTATCGCATCTCTCTCTCACTCTCGCGACAAACGTCAGCGCGGAGATCCGTCAAGTACGCGAATCGGAGTAGACGATTTGCCAGTTTAATCGTTTCAACGTCATCGCGCGTAATTCGCGATCCTTTTAAAATAGACTCATTATTATTCGATATGCATAGCCGCGGCGTGCGATGATCCCGCGGCCGCGGGCGTTCGCCGATCAATGTCATCGCACGCGTGTCACCGCCGATCTGTCATCGGGCCGAAAATGCGAGTGGGCGTAAAATCGCCGGCGGGTCCCCCCGACGACGTCGTATACGCCGCGCTGCCCAACTAACCTAACATCTGATCTGATGCGATGGTGACCGTGGTCGGACGGGACGACGGATGCGCTGGTTAGATATCGCGTATCGCCGCACGTCGTACAGCGAGATCATCTGTCATCTGTCATCTGTCATGCGTCGGGACGCCCGTGTGACGCCGCTCGAGGACGACGACGACGTGGATCAGATTCGACGCGATCGCTGACCGATCCTCGCGAGAGACCGTCTCTCCTCTCCGCTGATCGCTGCGCTTTTATAGGTTATCTCTCTGGATCTCCAGTTGACACGTACTGACGATACTGTCACGTACGTATACGCGTACGTATATGCACGCGCGACTTATTCCGAGTAAAGTGTTGCGAAATACCGCGCGTGAAACTACGTGAATTCTCTTCTCCACGGCATATCACAGCTCGCACAATCTTCGTCATGTGTCTCGGGAAGGTCGGGTCGTTCGAGCCCTTCCTGTCGACGGCTACCTTCTGTCTCGGTTTCGAACAGGTAACGGAGTCCCTTGCTCCGAATCACATTGCTTTCATCTTTTCATCTGCGAAAGAAAACGTTCGATATCGTTATTCCTTGATTGCAGTTTAAACTTTGAGACTGAATATAATAATAGTGCACTATGTGTGTCATGTAATAAAGTATCGTATATTATGTATCCATCATTCTTGTTATTATAATAGTAATAGTGCACTTATGTAAATGTTTCATTATCTCTTACATTGGTATTAAATATTTATACGTTATTCATGTTTTAAATATATTCTTCAGACTTGTGGTGGATTTACAATTTATTGGTGTCACTGTTTTTTTCTTAGTCCTGCAAATAAATTTCTTTGATAAACATACAGACAATGTGATTAATACGTGAAACTTTTTTTTTTCTGTTACAGCAATACAAAAGAGCAAATGTGATTACATTTTGGAGGAATTTTTGAATCACATAAATAACTGTTGCAATGTGCTTGTGACTAAATATAGATCTTTTACATTGGTAAAATAATGCTTAGAATCGTCATATATCTTTGTATAACTTGACTGTAAATTTCCAAAATGCAAGCCAAGAAACGCTACCTATTATTATTTGTAACATGCGCGTTTCTTGGTTACTGTTACTTTGGTGGATATCGTTTGAAAAGTGAAAAATGGACAGGCAGATCTCAGTTGCCTTACGAGCGATTGCCTTCATATTTAAGTCTAAATGAAGAGTTCTATGACAAAGATTTAAAGACATCCAGTGGAACTTTAGCTATGTCTCAACGTGCAAGGCATTGTCGCATGGAAACCTGCTTTGACTTTACCAGATGCAAGCAAGGTTTCACCGTATATGTGTATCCAGTTGAAGAAGTGATAAGTCCGTTATACCAAAAAATATTAAACGTTATCACAGAGTCGAGATATTACACATCAGATCCAGCACGAGCATGTATATTTGTCTTAGCTCTGGATACATTAGATAGAGATCCTTTATCCACTGAATTTGTACACAACCTTCCCTCTAAACTGTTGCATCTGCCATATTGGAATAACGGAAGAAATCATCTGATATTTAACTTATACTCTGGTACATGGCCCGATTATGTGGAGGAATCGCTGGCCTTTGATGTGGGTTATGCGATGCTGGCTAAGGCTAGTATGTCCATCTTTAGACATAGATCAGACTTTGATGTGTCGATACCTCTGTTTGGCAAACAACATCCAGAACGTGGTGGAGAATCTGGCCAAGCGTTAGAAAATAATTTTCCCAATAATAAAAAATACGTGGCAGCCTTTAAGGGGAAACGATACGTACACGGTATTGGATCTGAGACAAGAAATGCTCTCTATCATTTACATAATGGCAAAGATTTGGTATTTGTCACAACTTGTCGTCATGGAAAAGCTTGGAGAGAATTGCAGGATGAACACTGTCAGCAAGATAATCAGGAATACGATACGTAAGTAACAATCTATATAAATACTAGAATTGTTTGTTGGATCGCAAATTAACATTGAGATATGTAATTATATGTTTTTTTACAGATACGACTATGAGATTTTATTAATGAATGCAACATTTTGTTTGGTTCCACGAGGACGACGATTGGGCAGCTTTCGATTTCTAGAAGCTTTGCGTTCAGGATGTATTCCAGTTATCTTAAGTAATGGTTGGGCTCTTCCTTTTCATGAGCGTATCGATTGGACTCAAGCTGCCATATTTTCCGATGAGAGATTATTACTTCAAGTAAATTGACATCCAAAAATGCATTCGAGCATATTTCGGAATACAATTTTATTTTATTTTGAAAACAGTATAATAAAATTCGTTAAAATTATAGATTCCAGATATAGTACGATCCGTGTCCAATGTACAAATTCTTAAATTGCGGCAGCAAACGCAATTCTTATGGGAGAGATATTTTTCATCTATCGAGAAAATTGTATTCACCGCATTTGAGGTATCTAATTGTTTGTTCTTATTGTAATTTATTAGGGTCTTATTTCCGACCTTTATGTTAATTATAATTATCAATTTAGAATATTCGCGAGCGTTTACCATGGGAAGGAGCACGAGAAAGAATTGTTTGGAACACCAGTCCTGGAGCATTGGTGATTTTGCCGCAATTTGCCGATAGCCAACAAGAACTTCCCTTTTCAAACAGTAACCCTGGTAACACTTTCACTGCCATAATTTATTCGCAATTGGGATCCACCGCAGTTCTTTATCGCCTACTTCGAAGTCTCGCAAAAAGCAAGTACCTAGATAAGGTAAGTCTTAATTAATATCTTTCTTGCTATATTTTCTTTCGTGTAATATCGTTTTATTATCTTATATGGCATATTATTTTATTTCAGATTATACTTATGTGGAATTCGGACATTCCGGTGCCAAGAAAACGTTGGCAAGGTATTAAAGTGTCAATCCACATTGTCGCGGTTGACGGTATATCTCAACGTTTTTATCCTCATCCGTTAATCAAAACTAGTGCCATATTGTCGCTTGATGAAGACGCTACTTTAAATACCGACGAGATTGACTTCGCTTTTACGGTGTGGCGATCGTTTCCTGATCGAATAGTAGGATATCCAGCGAGATCTCATTATTGGGATGACTCAAAGGTATATATCATGTCCGCGTTATTTTGCTCTAATTTGCATTATTTTTTTCTAATTGAATTTACTTTCATTTTATATTCGAAGCGTTCCTGGGGTTACACTAGTAAATGGACAAACGACTATAGTATCATACTTACTGGTGCTGCTTTCTATCATCGCTACTATAATACTTTGTATACCGAGTTATTGAGCTCGACCCTTCATAAGACCGTGGAGCAATCGCAGAATTGCGAGGATATACTTATGAATTTCCTAGTGAGTCACGTTACACGAAGACCGCCCATCAAAGTGACGCAGCGCAAATTGTACAAGGACACTGCGGTAGCTGGCATCAGGTAGGTATTACTTATCGTTACGGCCATGTGTGTCATTATCGTTATTTCTAATACACATTGCCGCTTTGATTTTAGGTCCCCGTGGAACGATCCGGATCATTTCATACAACGGCAAACATGTATGAATACATTTGTCGCTGTCTTCGGCTATATGCCCCTGTTGCGATCTAACATGCGACTGGATCCTGTTCTGTTCAAAGATTCCGTGAGTAATCTTCGCAAAAAATATAGGCAAATTGAATTAGTTAGTAACTAACTAGGATTGTACACACTGTGCTCGATTTTTTGCGCGCATTTTACATTTAATTTTACATGCGCGCCTGACGCAAAATCTGTGTTACGCGATACGAGATATTAGATCTGTTTCTTTTAACTCACTTATCGTTTGGTGTAATTGAATCAGAAAATTTATATTGAGGATTTAAAAGAGGGAGAGAGAGAGAGACTGGAGAAAGAATTACAGTTGAAAAAAGCAGATCTATTGTCCTCGCCATGCGAACATGCGAGTGTAAAATGTATGGGGAACATTTATTGCGCGTTTGCGATCTACGCTACATTATCAATGTCGGGCAGTAAATCAAAGTCCGTTATCCAGCAAGGACACACACGCAGTGGGAGTTTTCTAGGAAGAAAACATAGATAGACTATGTGATGCAATTGATTATCGGATAGAGAATTTTTCAAGTTTCGCAAATTGTAATTGTTCCCTTTGATAACCATTGAATCCTGTTGAAATATTATGTTTATGTATTTCTTTCCGGAAAGCTCTCAATGATATCTTGCGATTTATTTGTGAGTACTTTTGTACAAATTGTAGAACAAATTGTAGAATTATAACGATGCAGTTTCTATTTGACGACATCTCGCATAGCTATTATCTGCTGCGAGGCAGCATTTAATTGATGTACATACAAATCGTTTTATAGTTAATAATAAGAAAAAAAAGTTATTTAAGAAACACTTGAACTTTTCACACATTGATCATTAAAATAATTATATGATAGAATCATTTAAATAAAATAAAAACAAAAATCAAATTTTTCTGATATTCGTTTTCGTACAATGATCTTTGATTATTTTGTTAATGTTTGTGAAATACAAGAGGTAAACAGATATCATTTGTATGTATAATGACATTTTTAATCATGGAGATTTGCATATGTTTTTCTATCTGAATAAATGTATTTTGTGTGATTCTTCTTAGATTTGAAAAAATGTAAGAAATCGGAAAAGTCTAGAATAGACTTTGTTAAGTGCTTTTGGTAGTGGTGACATGAAAGTCAATATTTGTATCATGGGAAGATGTGAAGAAAGAAGCAAGATTTGTTTATATTTAAAACAATTGTAAAGATATTATAATTTAATGAGATTATGTATATAATCTCATTAAATTCTATAGATATATATATATATATACTATATCTCGATATATCAATTTTTCTTGATATCAAGTAATTTTGATGTTGTATGATTTATAGGATCGCATTACTAATCCCTTTTTTTCTTCTCTCTTTTCGAGAGGAATTCTTATAGTTCGTATATTTGAACTTAATTATAAGCACTTTGTATCCAACAAAGAGATTATGTCAATTTATTCAACTTATGCACAATATTTAAGTCATATTGTCGCATATGTTGTATTGTTTACTTTGTGATCGCATTTTGCTGATTGCACTGATTTACGAGTGCATTTGAAATTCTACAGTTTAGCATACCTATTCGAATACTGCCGAGTTCTCAGGAACACGTTTGAAAAAGAAGGAAAATTTCTCTGTCAAGGCGTCACAACAATATCTAGTCGTTTACACCGATATACGCTGTTACACGATGGGAGAAATAATATGTAATCCCTCAGAAGAAATATAACATGGCATCTATATTCATCTATCTGTTTCGAAGACCGAAGCTATCTGTATGTGATATGTTTTTAATTATTGTGTGCTTCATAATCGAGAAGTATATTAAAGAAGGTTTATATAATTTTTATAAGAATGTGAGAATATAATTGTAAGATTCTTATAAGAATTATAATTATATAATTACAAAAATTTTAATTATTCTTATACTTACAAGAAATATATTATTATATTATAATTATGATTATATATAAGTATACTTATGTATACTTCTGTATATATAATTATTATATAATTAAATAATTCTTATATATTTTATAATATATTTCTGCGATTTTTTATGAGGCATATGCGTTGCAATCAAAAGCGATCGCAAATTAATTAAAATCTATATTATATTTATACTATTGTATTTCATTAATTTTAACAATTGATTTATTTTACGATCGTATTTGATTTGTATCGATTGATAAATGTTTGTAAATTAGTATCTAGATGTATATAGAACTCTTGATATAATAATTGTTTGATTCCTCGACGAACAATCGTATATAAATATATTTAAATTATCATTGGACTGGTTTGAAGACGAGCATAATGTCTGTACAAAAAGAAATAGTTCTATGCAATGATCGCGAATATTTTGATCCTATTTGATATGCGGCGGTGATTCTTCGATTTGTTAAACATTTTCCATATAATCGTACTGCGCAAAAATAACGTAACGTATAATAAGATAGTATTAGTCATTTTATATGGAAAAGAAATAAACTGTTTTGTACAAAAAAAGATGCTGTGTTCGAAGATAATAATAATTATTATAGTCACTTAATTTTTTTAATACTACATGTAAATCCCATGTGATGATAAAATGATAAAAAAATTAAGATGACAAATAAAAACATTAATTATTAATACCTTTAATAATAATAAATTATTTCGAAGATTGACACAAGTAATGATAAATTAACATTACTATTTTATGGAGATTAATAGAACAAAAAAGTATAATAATTATAAATATACAAATTAATCTTAAATGAACAAAATTAATGTCTATTTATTAGTTTATATGCTTAGTGATTGTCTTAATTAAAAAAAAAATGATAAATATCAATCTTTTAGAACGTCAAATTTTATAAAATATAAAAGAGATGTATAAGGGATATGAAAGGATTTTTTTATTAAAATATAATTAGACATTAGCGCAAGCGAGTCTCATTGAGATGAGGAGCAACCCTCTGTTGATCAAGGGAAAAATCGGAAGCGGTTTCAGGGTTAACAATGTGCGACGGAGAGGTGAAAAAAAACTCCAGGAAGGCGGATTTCGAGCGTCCAGCGTCCACCACCCGAGCAGTTCCCCACTCCGTTCCTGGTGATCGTGAACGTTCGACCGAGGTAGTGGGCGATACGCGGTGGTGGTGCGGCACCAAGACTCCCTTCTTTGTTGCCGCGCTCGGCTAGAAAGGTGACTATGCCAAGAAGACAGGAGAGGTATCGAGCACGCCTGTGGTATACCCGCAGTCACCTTTCTCTCCTCGTGACCGTAGCATATGCTCTGCGAACGTTCATGGCGCATTCGCGGCTCCTTTAATAACGGCGCTGCACTGCGGCTTTCGTAGGCGCATCGCGTTTTGCAAAAAAAAGAAGAAGAAAAAAAAAGAAAAATAGATTCGCAAAGTGCGAGAGCCGATCCCCGAATTCGAGCGCGGACCGAGTTTGAATTTCGCGCCGAAAGAAAAAGCGCGCCAATTCAGTTCGTTCCGGAGTGCAGAAGTGTGGAGTCGCGCGGACGAAGAGGAGAGAGTAACATCGCCCGCTCGTCATCCTACGGGAATCAGCGTCCCGATTGTGAATTCCTTCGTCAGCGGCCATCCGTCAACCAGGAGGGAAGATGATAATCGTGAGCAGCGTGTTGCTGATTCTAGCGGTCGTGTCGAGAGTCGGTGAGTCGGCTTCTTTTGCAATTTCAATTCGCACTTCTTCGTCGCCTTTTCGGCGCCGACAAAGAGGGTGGCAAAGTGCGTGCAACTTTGTCCTAATTAATACAATCTACATTCGAGTCCTACATAATATCTTTTGAACGTCTTCAGGATATATAGTATGTGCTGTAGGGTTATTAATATTTAATATACATATTGAATATTAATAATATATATTCTACGCCAAAAAAAACGTTAATAACCTGTTGAAAATTATGCCAGCATTCAAAGACCTGACATAGAATCGCATTGATATATATTTTATTTGATGAAATAAATCCATAGAAATAATAAATTCGTGAATTTGGTGCGCGATTGTTTTATATCGCGTAATTATAATTAACGCTAATCGCGAACATCGCAAGTAGACGAGAGGGTCGAGGGGGTTAGGGGTAGAAAAAAATGGCGCACTCTCGCGACGCTGTTGGGTCGATCGATCGACTTATTGATCGATTGATCTCGACTCGAAGACACGTTCGCGCGGCGCGCGAGAGACCAAGCGAGGTCGCTGGAGTCGCGCATGCGCGGTGGTTCGCGCGCGCATTAAGCCGCGAAAATGTCAGTTTACGTAATGCACGCGCCGTTGGATAACTGGCACACACGCGGAAATCAAGCTAATGCGCCCGTCGATCCCCCGGGGTGCGCCCGAGGGTAGCGGCGTTCGTCGCGTTGAAAAATTCCCTTCTCGGTGTCTCTCGACGACGGGAATGTCCTGCATGGGCGATCAGCGTTGCGCACTGCATGAGAATGCACGGGTAAGTTTTGAAACTTAAGCACGCTCTCTCGTGCGCGTCTAATTCTTTCGATGCCCGAGACTCGCTCCAATAATAATATATAACTGATAGACATCGCGCGGTTTCATTATATTTGACAGCAAATATTTGCGGAATATCTTTCCGTAGAAAATCGAAGCATTAAACGCGCGCGAAGGAATTATCGAGTATTCGTTTAAGTAGGGTATATCATTTAATAACTTTCGATTCGAATGTATCGGGGCACTGTACTGCGTGCTGGAATGCGCGAATGCATTTGCAATTATATAATTTTGTTATCTAAAATGAGTGTAAGGTAAGAATTTCTATATATGTGAGATATTAAGAAATTGCAAGCACTGACTCGAATGAAGTATTAATTGGGATAGTAAAAATGCACGCAAATATATTTTTCACAAATCCAAGAGCAAATGATTTTCTTAAAGTTTGCTTTAAAAATTATTTTAATTATTGATACACGAAGATATTCGTACACAGAGAGAATTTTCTCTTAGAATTTGCTCTGAAAAGCATGGTAATATCGTGGGACAATATGATATTGGAAGAATTTTTTATAAGAGTTTCTCTAATTAATATTTATCACAATAAAAAATATTTATATGCACATAGTAAATTTTACTATGTACATATTAATCGAACATATTTTATTGTGGTATAGATATTAATATATTTTATTGTGGTAAATATTATTTTATAAGAGAAATTCTTATAATTTCTTTCAATATTATTGTTCCACGATTATCATAATTTTCAGGGTAAATTTTAAGAAAAAAATCTGTGCAATATTACGGAAAAAAATTATCTACTTTTAGCTAAATTTAGCTGTTTCTATATTACACATGAAATTTAATTATCATGCCTAAATTTTAGCTATAATAGCTAATATTTTTAGCTACAGAATTCTTCGTTAAACTATAGCTAAAAATATTACTTATTATTGCTAAAATTTAAGCATGATAACTAAATTTCAGATTGTAATATGGACAGCTAAAATTTAGCTATGGTAGTTAATTTTTTTCCATGATAGGTATATGAAACGCTAATTCAACAATTTGCAATTGATTTGATTTTTATATGCAAAATTCTTTCTTAAATATTTTGAAGACATTGTCTGAGAGAATAATGCAATATTTTCGAATGTTGTGTAAAAATATTTTTGAAATATTATGTCAAATATTTTCTGAATTTGTTAATTTAAAGTTTCTATTCAGAACAACATAGAAAAAAATTAATTAACGTTACGTCTCATTGAATAAACATTGCGTTAATGTGTCTTTTTACTTGCCGGATATCTGTCAGACGGTATATAAGAATGAACGTATCGTTATGACTATCTGGCCGTCGATCTGCGATAATGAGATTTAAGACATCTCGAGTGAAGAATCTAAGCAATTAAATCTGTACACACAATGCATAGTTAAACCGCGAAGTATATTTCTTCCCAACGCGACACGCGGCAATGATTTAACGTTTCTAAATGCAGGAATCTCCCGCGGGTCGTGTCCTCTCTTCTGCTTGAGAAGGAGAAGAGAACTTTTGCAATCCGACTGCGCGGTATAGGTCGGTTTCGCATGCGAAACGACCGATTTGCGAAACTTTACCGCGACGTTGACCGAGCTTGGATAGAATCGGCCAGAGCAAATGTATTTCATCGAGAAATTTTGCGAATCTATCGCGAATCGTATTCGATCTCCCCGGGGAGTTTTGCATCAGCTGCCGCGAATTAAAATTATTTCGACGAAATCGATTCATCTATCAAGAAATCGACATTGAGAGACTTCCAGTTATAAGATTAATAATTGCAAAATTATTAAATAATATATATTTAATTAATTTAATAGAAGCTTCAATTGATAGATGAATTTATATAAAAAAGTTATTAATAAAATAAAAGATTTTTCCTCATGTATATTAATCTTTATCTTGATAAAAACGATGTAAATTTTTATAATTTTTTTCGATAAATAATTTTATTTCGTCGAAATAATTTTTTAGTCTGTCGAAGCAGTAGAATATCTCGCAAACGGAGGATTCCAAAATACAAATCTCCGTATAGATTCGTAAAATTTTTTCGTGAATTATATTTGTCGACGCGCTCAGAAATTCCCCGCATTCTCATTCGTTCTATTTATAATCAGAGATTTCCATACAAATTACACCGATTCGATTTCGTCGACGGATGTAATATCGTTCCGATATAATTTCGCGCAGACTCGCTTCTCGAATCGACGAAAGTAACCGGATTTTTTGCGTAACCAATGAGAATAACTTCGCGATCGAAGACCTCGATAGGTTATAGGATTCATCGCGAAAGGATGAATATGATTTCGTATATACGGTCGCCACGCCGCGGATTCGAACAAAGGAGAATGTTAACGGTATTGTGCTACATTATTTCGGTAACACGGTGGATAACGGGGCTTGGCGTGGAAATGATCCGCTTGCGAAATTCGCCAGAGGTGCTCGGTTGCACCTCTGCGCAGGCAGCATTCAGCAGCCGGCGGAGACGCAATCAGAAATCTGTTCCCATCGGTTAACAAGCCGGCAGAACGTAAAGAACGTCTTTCGTCTCGCAAGATGCGCGCGTATCCGCCGTCGAGATGAGATAATAAAGAAAGGAGAAATTGCTGATCGCGCGCGATCCGCGCATCCTCGGATGTGCAACGGCACATGACTGAAGATCTATGTGCGCGCGCCCAAGTTTTCTAAATCTCTTCTAAATCGTCTAGGGAAAAAAATTAGCTAAATTTTAGATGTCCGTATATTACACATAAAATTGAATTATCATGCCTAAATTTTAGCTATGACAGCTAATATTTTTTAGCTATAACATTCTCCGTTAAACTGTGGCTAAAAAATATTAGTTACCATAGCTAAAATTTAGGCATGATAAATTTAATTTTGTAATATATGGACAGCTAAAATTTAGCTATGGTATAGCTAATTCTTTTTTTCCGTGTCGGACACGCGGGATTAATACGATGACTATATTTTCTCAGAGAAAATAAAGGACAAATTTGAAGAGTTTGTTTCAACAAATCTGTAGATTTGGAAACATGTTTGCGAGCAAAGTGGAGATTGGCGAGCGAAAAAAAATAATTCTGACTATTAAAAGTTTACGTAATCTTACATAGTTTGAAACAAATCCTTAGTTTCTCCCAGATAAGACGTTCCATTGTTTTCGCACTAATTCATGTTAATACTATGACATGAGATATTAAAACGCTAAATAAAATGTAAAGGACAAAATTGAGTTTTGAAAAAATGAATAAATCTAAAGAACAACTATTTGAAATAAAGAATTATTTTCTAAAATAAGGGACAGATGGTCACCGTATTAATGACCGATAGACGAGGGTCTTTTCTTCTTGCATAAAGAATTAGGACTAATACATTATACGCACATGTTCATGGGCATCTGTAGGGGAGAGAGCAAGAACTTACCCCTCTTGGAATCAGTAAAAAAATTAAGCATTTACTCTCTTTTTGAATAGACACTTGAATTTATTTGCACATTTAACATATAAAAAAATAAAAATAACAAAAAATTAAATTTTTAAAAATTAAGAAAAAAACAAAAATAAAAAAAATTAATTATGTCCCCACCTGGAAAATAATTCTGCGGACGTCTATGCATATGTTGCACCGATGAAAATACGAGATGGAAAGAGATAACGTAAAGTGTGACGAAATGAATACGTTGGAATTCGTCCTGCTCGTTACTCTTTGGAAAGAAGGTATTTACTTTATAGAAATAGAGAGTACATATATGTATATATATATATCTCCGGTCACGTGCTAACAGAACGAGTTTTCAAATTAATTTGTCGATCGCGATAGTTGCAGTACGCGTACTCTTCTCATTATAAATCACCGATTAATTGAAGTGGCAGCTGAATATCGGAATTTATACTCGCAATAAGCGGAACATTACGTGATTCGTATAAATGTGAGTTATAAATGTCATCATAATGCTGACTCGATTGTATTGTCGACTGTGTTATAATGATTAATTGAGAACATAAAAATGTTTTACGAGTCAATGATTTTGTGATTGAATTACGTCCAAGACATTTCATTGCTTCTTTATTGTCCACATTATCTTATACATCTTTATTTTCAGAATTGTTAATATCCATTGATCGCGTGATTAATACGCGTGATTAAATGGATTTTACTTGAAACATTTAT